CGTGAGATATTGAAAAGCCGCTCTTTGGTGGACATGATCTCCGACTTAACTGCATGGAGGGAGAACTTGCTTATTTGCAATGCCTGAAATGCCTGCAAGTTAAAAGTTTATGATGTATTGTCCTAGAACTAACTGTCCTGGGCCAGAATGCCAACCAACTCTGATTGCCAGAGCCAAAAGATTGAAAAATACAGATATGTCTCGCTTCCATTATTTAGGCACGTATTAGCTAATGCAAACATGATTATCAAAAAGTGCATTCACATATTTTACTAAGCCAGGAGTTTATAAGTCTTATTTCAAAAAGACAAGTTTCCCGCCCTCCCCCAAATGTGCAAGGGTTCCTTTCAAAGCAGTTTTTAAAATGGCTACCAAAATCAACCAGTTATATATGAAAATTACTCATTCCCTTCAAATAACATAATGCTAGTGCTACAATATATTACAAAAAGTTGCACATAGAAAAACTTGTCTTTAATACTCAACTTACAATGAATATGGGGGAAGCTGTTTTCTTAAGGTATTTGTATTCCCTTAACATTCTAGACTCTGTAAGCAGTTTCCTATTTCTAAAGATCCAACATTAACTTGAAATTCTTATGTCCAATAATAATTTGTGCATTTACAGGAATATGAAGTAGCTGCTAAGTGAAAGGACATTACCTGGTAATTTGACAGGAAAAGAGTCCATAGACAGTCTGTAAACCAATTAAACATAAACATCTGATGCACATTTTCTACTGAAAGAAAAGCAAGGGAAAGAAGAGAAAGGAAAACTTTAAGGTTCCCAAATCTACAAACAATTTTTACCATTAACTGTACGGTACAGTATTTTCATTTTATTTTTTAGAATACTTATATCAAAGTGTTTTTTCAGGATTCCTTGGGGGAGGGAATATGTTGGCATAGATATATAGCTTCTAAGTTACCTGCCCTGTTGAATTTCCTTAATCCTTAGGAATCAAAATAAAAATGGCTTTTCAAAGTCAGGTAATAGTCACATAATTTTCACTTTGAGATGTTTGATGGAAACAACTAAAGGCAAAGAACAGTGGAAATACATAGACTTTAGGTGGGTAAAGGCAAAAATAATGAGGGGCCTTGAGGTAGAAACTCAGGCTTTATAATACCATGGTGACAAAGGAGGATTTTCCATTTAAAAGTGAAAGCTAATATATGAAATTTATGTAGCTGGTTACCAAAAGGAAAAATTTAAAGCACTGTCAAAAATGCAAGGTATAGGAATAATTTGCTTGCTTAGACCCATTTAATCTTTGATTCAGTTAAACCTCAACAAAAATCCAAACTGATAAAAAGCTAGGGATCACAGCCTCTTAAACTATTTAGTGAATTCCGAAGTGGTCAGGAAAATCGAGGTCTGAGAAATACTTGAATGGATATCTATCTTACTGACAAGTGACCTTTATGTTTATTAATACTATGTATTAATTTTACTAATTTTAAGTGGCATTATGGGATAAAGGAAAAAAATTCCCTCTACATTTTTCTTCCTCCTGTCTTTATAAAGGTGGGTTCAGTGATTTTCTTCTTCTTTTTTTTTTTTTTTTTAGGTTCAGAGATTCCAAAAGTAAAGAGAAACAGCTCCAGTATTTTAAGTCATCAGTAAGACGTGACTACAATATTCAATACAGTCTACTTCCATTTAATTCTAGTGATATATCTTTACAAACTTTAGGAGCCACCTTAAGGAAAGTCTTTTTCAAAACTCTTCCTACCTCTTCAATATCAAATATGTAAAAATTAAGTATTCGTTAGCCATAGAATGTTAGTGTTGGATGGGACCTAAAAGGTCCTTTGGTATATCCTCCCCTATCTATGTTTCCCCACTCATTATCAGGCTTTTCTGCCTACACCTCCAAAGACTCACTGTGTCATGAAGAAGCTGCTCTTTTAAAAAATAAAACGCTAATTTTTGGAACATTCCTTTTATTAATCCAGTATCTACCTCCTTGTTACTTCCATCCATTACTCTGAGTTCTTCAGCACTTTGGATTAATACAACAGATGTCTTCTTTGTATTCAAATGCAAACAGTCAATATTTACACTTGGGTTAACAAAAAATAAATGTTGAAAGTCTACTGATACTAGAAGAGATGAAAACAGGACATGACAGAGTTAAAGGCATGAGAAAACTCACCAATATCTATGAGTTGCGTAAAAATATTATGGTTGACAGTATTTTTTAATGTAACATTCAAAATGGTAGTTCTGTTAATTGAAGTATTATGTTTAAAATTAAACTAAAAAGTGTGGTTAATTCCAATTTTATGTGAGGTCTGTGGCTAATGTCTCAAAACAAACAAAAACTTCACTATACAAAGCCTGAATAAATGCCTCTTTAGCTCCCATTCCCCACCTAAAGGCTTCCTATTGTCAGGGAAACTAACATTAGCTTTTACTACATTAAGCTATTCAGAACTGCTATTCTATTGGAAAATTATTTTAAAGCAATTTACTGAATGCTCCATTAAAAAGTTATTAAAACAATTTTATAGAAGCCATAATACACATACACAAGAACCACAGAGTTGTTTTGTTGTTAACAAAAGCATTTTAAGGTCACAATTTTACTTCAACCAATACTTTAAAATAACCAATAAGTAAACTTCTTTGGCAGTTTACATATCCTAAGAAATATAACCTTTTTTTCACTACTCATACCTGATTCAAATATAAATAATATACACCCGTATGTATAAACTGCTATGCAATTCAAAGATACCTCTCAAAATGCACCAAAAAAAAAAAAAAATTGTAACCATTTAGACACTGGGGCTGTTTGAGTGAAACAGATTAATACAACATATCCAAGACCCTAAAAACAAATTCTATATCTAATAATTTTCAGAGTCCCTGAGTGCCTTTGGAGATTTTGTAATTATTTCCTAAAATTTTTGTTTAAAAGTGACAGCCTACACATTATGTGCAGGTAAAAAAAAAAAATTATGGATAATTACTAATTTGGTTGAAAATACCTAAAAAAAATCACCTATTTTTAAAAATAACATTTTAGATAAAGGCTGAGAATTTACCTTTCCTTTTTTTTTTTTTTTTTTTTTTTTTTTTAGTAGGCAAGATGCAGGTTACAAAGCAGTAATGCATTACATTTGGAAGCCCCTCTTCTATTCAACAATCAGCATCAGCATCCGGATGTTAGTTTGATTTTTATTGTTATCGCCAGCCCAAGACACACCTTTTGGTTCTCCAAAGATCAGTAAGGGTTTTCTTTTCATAATGTTTATATAAAGAGTTTTTGTTTGTTTGTTTGTTTTACCCAGCGGCCCTATTTCATCAGATTATCACCAACTGATATTTTTATAGTTCTTAAGCTATGGACATGTCATTTTCATTCCACCCAAACTCGACATTCTTGGCCCATCAGCAGTTCCCAACACTGGAACATGTAAGAACAATATATTGATAGCACTTAAGGGAGTTTGGATTTTCCCTCCCTTAATCTCCAAGTGTGCCCCCTGCCTACCAGCATCACATCCGTCTTGTCTGCATTGAACCTCAACCAGTTGGTTCTTAACCACGTCCGTAACTCAGCCAGGCACTGGGAGAATCGAGCCACCACACCATCTGGATCAAAGGAAAGAGAGCCTCAGTAGTAACTGGACCAGAGACCCTGGCACCACAAGCTCATCGCTCACCCAGTCTCTAATTTTTAAAGAATGTCCAGGGATGAGGAGAAGGATCCCGTGGCAATTTTTGAAAACATAATAAGGAATCTCGAGCCCTACTATTCGTAACCAATGGTAAAAAAAAATAAAATAAAATAAAATAAAAGCGACTCAATAAACAGATCAACTCATTCCACCCATGAATGAAGAAAACGAAGGTTCAGTCAACTCCAGATCATCTCGGCTCAGCGGCCTCGGGAGACCTGGCCAGTGCTAAGTTTTTCTGCAAAATGAAGAATTTTAGCGTTGGAGAGAAAGCTTTAGGGGTAACTGCAGCCCCCGGACAGGGGTGGTGGGTGACTCGCTCAAGGTCACACAGCAAAGCGAGGACCAGAGAGAAGCCACAGGCCAGAGAGATCTTTCCATTTACTGGGAGACAAGGCCAGAGGAGGGGGAGGCATCTGCCCCCGGGAATCCTCCCACCGGCGGGGAGGACCTCGGCCCCTCACAGCAATGCCCGCCTCCTGGAGTCTCTCTTCCCTCCCTCACTCCCTCTGGAAGGAGATGCTCTGCCCAGGTTCCCTGCTCACCACCAGGGCAGCAGTGCGAGCAGGAGCCGCCCCGGGGCCGGGACCGAACCCCAAGCTGCTGGGGGAGGAGGCGGAGCCACAGAGGGGAGGTCAGCTTCCTTAGCCCCACCCCGACCCGGATCGGAGGCCGCCAGGAGAAAGGGGCGGAGGCGAACGGGGTCGGGCACACTCACTCCGCTGCCGATTCCCTGCGAGCCGCGGGCACCGCCAGCGCAAAGGGCCGGGCTGGGAGGGAGGGCGCGGGCGGGCGGGCGGGGGAGGGAATGGGAGGGCGCGGAGGAGAGCTGCGCATGCGCCTCGGCGGCCCGCGCCGCCGCGGGGGGGGGGGGGGAGGGGGAAAAGCGGGCCGCAGCCCCGCCCCGGAAGTTCAGGGTCTTCCGGGCGGTCCTCCGCGGTGGGGGAGGGGAAGGGGAGAGAAAGGGGACAGAGGACATCTCGGGAGCCCCTCATCCCAAAAAGGACGAGGAGAGGAGAGGTGGTTCATGGAGGCTGCACTTACAGCCGCTGCCGCCGCCACCGCCGCCACCTTCGCTGCAGCCGCCACCGCCTGGACAAGCCCCATCCATCCGCCTGCAAGCCGGGGAGCCTCGGAGCCTGGGAGGGGCCTGGGGCCGGGGCCGCCCGCCTCCTCCTTCTAGTCGTCTCCCCGAGCTTCCTCTTGCTCCACCAACCCTCTGCCCTCCCCTCCGCCTCCGCCCTCCTCCCGGGCCTCCAGCCGCCAGCCAACCGCGCGGCCGCTTGTTGAGCCGGGGCTCCGCCGTCTCCATGGCGCCCGGCAAACATTCCGGCGCTCCGGCCCCGGCCGCTAACGCCCGGGACCGGATCGGGGCGCAGGGGCTCCCGGAGCCGGCGGGCACAGGGGTGGTCGTCCACTCCCCAGACGGTCGCCACCATGCCCACCACTCCGGTGGACAGCTTAAGGAATATGAGCGGCGGATCGTAAGTGCCGGCGGCAAGTTTCCAGCCTTCGGGTTCGCGGAGGGAAGGAAGGAACCTCTGGCTGCAGCTGGGCTCAGTCCACAGCATTCAGGCGGGGTGTCTCTCCTTCCTGGGCCCCTGCATACCCCCCTGCTGCTGTGCTCGCCCTTTGAGAAAAGACCGCGTTTGTTGAGAACCGACCTTAGCACTCTTCCGTGGGGTCCTCCCCCTCCGCTCTGCAGTCTCAAGCTAGTTGCCCACAAGCTGTGTCTTGGTGTTCCAGCTCTCAACTTCTGAGAGCCCCCACGCAGTCGCGGTTTTTTGTTTTTTTTCCCTACCTCCTTCTTGTACCATCCTGCCCTAAAGCTCATTCCTTTTTTTTTTCTTTTTAATATATTTTATTGATTTTTTTACAGAGAAGGGAGAGGAACAGAGAGCTAGAAACATCCATGAGAGAGAGAAACATCTATCAGCTGCCTCCTGCACCCCTCCCACCGGGGATGTGCCCGCAACCCTTAAAGGGAATGGAACAGGGGTCCCTTCAGTCCACAGACCAACGCTCTATCCAGAGCCAAACCGGTTTCAGCAAAGCTCATTCCTTTTTACAACCTTTTAGTGTTCCTGCAACAGATGAATGACAGACAGGCTGGAGAAAAGCACACAGCTCCGAGGAGGACTTGTTTCGCTGAAAAAGTTCGAGTGTTCCCTTAGTGCTGCCCTGCAGTGGCGCTCAAGTTCCCCGATGAGTTCACTCTCCCATACTTCAGGCCCCTTTCCTTCTCTCTTCTCAAACTTTGAACATCTCTCCAATCTCCTCCAGCTCAGCTAGTTTTTCTTTAGCAGAACTTGTTGAATTTTTTTTTTTGGAAGGGGATGGCGGGGAGCCGTTCTCTCTTGAATGTGATACTCAGGATTTTTGCCCCTTCTACCACTCCAGCTTTCGTAAAGGTCCACAGCAGTTAGCTGCTGCCCAGCCGTATTGAGTGGCCATGTCTGTTTCATCCTCAACTCACACATCAGCAGCTCTGGTCTAGCTTATCACTTCTTGAGTTTTCAATAACTTTTTTTGGTTTCTAGGACACCACCACCCCTTCCCTGTTCTTCCCATGGTTTATGAGTATTTTTCTCAAAATATTTTGCTGGTACTTCATTTCTCCCATGTCTAAATATTGGAGAGTTGCTGGGGTCAGTCTTTTTTCATTAGGATGCCTTTAAAAACCACCTAAACACTGGTGATTCACAAGTTTATATCTCTAGCCAACACCTCTCTCAAGAAAGCAAATATTTAAATAAGCAAATATTTGCCCTTAGAAGTTAATAAGGCATCTCAAAATTTATATCCAAAACGGAACTTAATTTTCTAACCAACTCTGTAATAAAATGGCAACTTCTCTTTCAGTTCGTGAAAAACCTTGGAGTTATCCTTGACTTCTCTAACATCCGTTCCATCAGCAGATTCTACCATTTCTACCTGAAAAATAAATCCAGGCTTACCACTCCGACATAAGCCACTTGTAGCACTGCAGTAACCACATAAATGGTCTCACCAACACCCACATTTTAGTAATAACTGACTCTTTTCAAAACCATCTTTTGTCTCCCATTTCACTCAGAGTGGAAACACTACTTACATTATCTCACCTTGGACTCTTCCTCTTGATTAATTACATTCACTATTGTTCCACATTAATATAGGCACATTATTTCCCCACTTCAGAATGTATACATTTGCTGTCTTTTGGAACATTGTACCCCTAGATAACCTCATGACTCATTTTCTTTAGATGTCACCATATCAAAGAATTCCCTAATGTGGTACTTGTTTGTTAATCTGCCTTCACTCAAGCTAGGGTACTTCATGGGAGCAGGGATTTTTTTGTTTTGTCACTGCTATTGCCTAGAATAAAGAAGGTGTTCAATAAATATTTGTCGACTGAACAAATGACTGAATCATTTTGTACTTTAGTGACTAGTTACTCTTCTGGTTTTTGTTTTTACATGAAGGTATGAAAATCTCAAGATAGAATTCATGTAGTTTTTTTTTTTTTTTTTTTTTTTTTTTGTTTGTTTTTTTAAGTCGTTCAACTTTCAGCTGAGAGAGTGAGAAAAATTCCCATGGGAATTTCTTAAATAATGACAAATTCATTGAAGATTACCTGTTAAGGAAAGAATTAGGTGGGAGAAGGGAAGTAGCATAACCTTCACATTTTGAGTTAGCCATGTTGTATAATTAAAATTTGACAGATACTAAAGTATACAATGGTTTGACCTAATGTGTTACCTCTCATCTTCTTTAGGATTTAATTCTGACCTTGGAAAAAATTTACATGGAATATGAATTTATCAAATTTTCACTCCAATTTTTCCTAATTTAAGTCTTTCCTATTTTGCTAACCATTATTGAACAATCTCTTTTAAAAACTACCAGTAATTCATTGGTCAATGCTTTTATCCCATTTCTCTGCTCAGTTTCTCTTTTCTATTAACTTCTGTGTTTATTTATTTCCTTTGATTTTTAGAATTTTCATTTGTTGAGCATGTTATCCAGTTTTTCCATTAGAATCCTAACCTCAATCCCTGGTGGAGGGCTTGTAGGAGGCAGCCTATTGATGTTTAACTCTCTCCCCCTGTCTTCCTCTTTGAAATCAATAAAAATATTTTTAAAAAATTAAGTCCCTGCTTTAGCAAACTTAAGAGTGTAGAGCTACCTGCCCTCTTGTATCATGACTATTCTTTAGATCACATGTGTCAAACACAAGGCCCGCGGGCCAAATCTGTCCCGCCAGGCCTTGCAATGTGGCCCGCACCGCGCTGTCATCACTGCACTCCGCTGCGTTTCCATCACAATGACAGTTTATGACTGTTCAGTAAACCATTTGGCCCGCGATTTAGGCTGGATTTTAGATTTTGGCCCCTTCTCTGATTGAGTTCGACACCCCTACTTTAGACAAAGTGATTTTCAGAGTGATTATCTCCTAAAATCATCTTATTGCCCACTAATTTTCGTTTATTGAGAACATCTGTTTTCTAACATAATTACACATGTATCATAAATTTCTAATATAATTGGCTACAGCAGTGTTTCTCAAACTTCTCTCATGATGAGAATCACTTGGTGGAGTTGTTAAAATACAGATTCCTGAATCCCAACTAAGAAGTGTTAAATACTCCACCAGGTGATTCTCATCATGAGAGAAGTTTGGGAAACACGGCTACAGGAATTTCTTTCAACTTCTTTTAAAAAGTCTGTATTTTCTGTCTAATTTCTCAGTGTTGTAGGCAGAGTGCTAATTGCTGGGGTTATAAATGGTGGACATGATAAACATGGTTTTTAGCAGTAGAAGAGGAGAGGGTAGAACTGGATTGTAGTGAATTATGAAGCAAATATGAGGAGTAAGGAAGTAACCAGTATAATTGTTTAGTATTTTTAAAAGTTAGACTATGAAAGATTGAGAAATGTAGTAATAGAGGAAGACTTAGCTAAAGGAAAGATTTTTAAGTTTAAAGGATGACAAGCATAATTATATGCTAAGGGGGAAAGATTGGAAATAAAATGTAGGAGACGGAGTTATTGATGGAGAGATATCCCTGAGAGAGTAGTAAGAGACAAGTTTCAAAGCATAGGTAGAAAGATAGCTTGAGATAAGAATGGGAACTCTTTTACTGAAAGAGGAAGAAAAATGGGTTTGGGTTTATATGAGTTTGTAGGATGAAGAAGAAGAAGAATATAATGAAGGTGGAAAAATAAGGAGAATTTACTTGATTATTTTTATTTTCTTAGAGATGTTTGAGGTAAAGTCACTTAGAGTCTGAACTGGGGAGGACAGGTAGAATACTTAAAAAAGATATACGGTAGCATGAATGGAATTCACTTAGTCATTTCTTTTTAAAAATGCTTATTTTGTGCCCCACAACATAATGGGCACTGCCCTTTGAATTCAGGATATAGCAATAAATAAGACAAAGTTTTTGCCCTAAACATGTTTATATTTTAGTAGAGGAATGGACAACAACATAGTGTCAAGTCGTAATAAATGTACTAATGTCTTCAAAAACATCTTATTGTAGTCTGGTCATTTATGATTTGAAAAGTAAAATTATTATTAAAACATTTTCTTTGGCCAGGACAGGAGTGGCTCAGTGCTTGAGCATCAACCTATGAACCAGGAGGTCATGATTCAATTTCCAGTCAGGGCACACGCCCCCATTGCAGGCTCTATCCCAGTGTGGGGCGTGCCACAGGCAGCCAATCAGTGATTCTTTCTCATCATTGGTGTTTCTATTTCTCTTCCTCTCTGAAATCAATAAAAATATATATTTTTAAAAAGTTTTATTGAAAATCTATTTCCCTTTTAAAATCTCAGGGAAAATTAATAAAATAAGAGTACTAGAATGAATGATAAGGTAGTTTTTTGTCTTAGGAAACTTACAGAGTAGATCCAAAAGTAAAATAATTTTTCTCTAGGATATAAACATTTTGATGATAACTTATTAAAAATTATTATGTAATTGTTCAGGCAGGCTTATGATTATGCTTTAATCTGCCTGTGTAACTGCACTCTATACTCTTTTGTGCTTACTACATGTTAGACACCTCCTAACCATAACATAAATTATTTTAATCCTCAAATAATGAGGATTAAATGAATTAGAAACTATTATCACCCCCATTATACAGATAAGGGAACAGACCCAGAAATCAGTGTGGACTTTGGATCTGACTATCTGGATTTAAATTTCAACTCTACTAGAAATGTTTCCCTCTAAAGTTCTATGATTTCATATAAATAATTAGTATAAATAATAGTAATAGCAACCTTTTAGAATTGAGTGGAAAATTTAACATAATGCATATAAACATTCTAGATCTATTCTTACACATAATGAGCTCTTTAGTAATAGTATTTCTTATTTATATGTTTAGATTGTTTTCATGTTTCTAATGGAAAGTCTCTTTTTATTGTTGGTTAGTTTTTCTTCAGTTGTGGATCTTCTGTATTGTTTTCTTTTCCTGATATAGGAGCTTAGCTTTACTTAACAGGAAGTCTGTTACTGGCTTTTCTGGCACAGTAAAAGGAGCTCAAACAAAAGGATATCTTGGTATGAACCCAAGCAGACTGGGTTTAACAAAAGTCATGTCGACGCTACCAGAGATGAAAACAGATAAAATGATTACCACAAAGGCAGCCATACAGGTAATACCCCCCCTCCCCCACACCCCTCCTCCCCAGGATATTTTATTTGTTTTCAGAGAGGAATGGAGAGGGAGAGAAAGAGAAACATTAATAATGAGAGAGAATCATTGATTAGCAGCTTCCTGCATGTCCCCTACTGGTGATCGAGCCTGAAACCCAGGCATGCGCCCTTGAACTGAACCAAACCCGGGACTCTTCACTCTGCAGGCTGACACTATCCACTGAGCCAAACCAGCTAGGGTCGTAATATTGATATATTGATTTTATTCATCTTTACCACGTAACATATTTTACAACATAATATTGGCAGTTGCCTCCTATAATTCATTATTGGTAATAATATTGGAGTTGAATGAAAAAAGTCTACTTGTGACCTTAAGAATTAGTTGGTTTGATAGTAATTGTGACTAATCTAGCTGTAATACAGATTGTACAGCTGCCATCCCCTCTTCTTTGCAGTGTACTCTAGAAAATTTCATTAAATGAGTTGTCATAAAGAAGGTTATTATATCTCATTAGAAGACTTATTAAGAATTGCCTTTTTAAGAAAAACACCAATCCTCCTAAGACTTTCCCCCCAAAATTAACCAGATAAAGACACTACAAAGAGAATTATAAGCCAATATCCCTGATGAACATAGATGCTGAAATCCTCAACAAAAAATTAGCAAATCACATCCAGCAATACATTAAAAAGATCATATCCATGATCAAGTGGGATTTATTCTGGGGATGCAAGGCTGATACAATATCCGCAAGTCAATAAACGTGATACATCACATAACTTGAGAGACAACACATGATCTTATCAATTGATGCAGAAAAGCATTTGATAAAATCCAACTCTTTTTTTGATAAAAATTCAGCAAAGTGGGAATAAAGAGGTCATAACTGAATGTAATAAAAGCCTTATATGACAAATCTATAGCCAACATCATACTCAATGGGCAAATACTAAAACAATTTATCCTAAGAACAGGAATAAGGGATATCCACTTTCACCACTCCTGTTCAACATAGTATTGGAAGTGCTAGCCATAGTGATCAGACAAGAAAAAGAAAAGAAAAGGTATCTAAATTGAAAAAGAAGTAAAACTGATGACATGATATTGTACATAGGAAACCCTAAAGATTCCATCAAAAAACTAACAGACTTAATAAATGAATTTGGCAACATACCTGGATACAAAATTAACACCCAGAAATCTATGGATTTTTTTTACACCAATAATGAACTCCAGAAAGAGAAACTAGAAAAACAATCCCATTTACCATTGCAACAAGAAAAATTAAGATACCTAGGAATAAACTAAGGAGGTAAAAGACCTATACTCAGAAAACTACAGGACATTGAAAAAAGAGATAGAGGAAAAAATAAGCTTTGGTGCTCATTGAGTCTGCCTCCTGAGTATCCCTTATGGATCTGAGCAGTTTGTAATCTGCATGGTCCCACTCTGACCAATGGGTACACTGGCTCTTAGATCTTCAAGGAGGTGTAAATTTAGCTCTGCTGAGTCCACTCAGCAGGAGCTATGGAGAGATTTTCAGATTCCTCTTATTGGGGTTTGGAGGTGCCCAGATGAGGCCCAACTATGAAGCAATGCAAGCTGCTGTGGAGTCTTGGGCCTTCTTTTGGAAGTTCTGGGCTCCCCAGAACTTTGTTAGGTAATTTTAGTTTATAAAGGGCCAGGCCATTCATGTGCAAAAACCTTTGTGCACAACTGGGGTGGGGTTGTAAATTGGGTTGGGCAGGGTCTCAGGGCAGAGCAAACAGCAATGGCTGACCTTTAGCCTTGCACTAAAAGGCCCCCAGGTCTCAGTGTCCCATGGTAATTGCTGTAAGCACCTCTGAGAGAAAGCTGCCCTCGGGTTCTAACCTGATGCCAGACAGTCCAGTTTCCCTTCTTTATGAGTCTGGGTCCCAGGAGGCTCACCTGGAACTGGAGTTCATAGCAATCGGGAGCTTGTATCTCCCTCCTGATTGAAAAAGACAGCTGTGTCCTTAGTTGCCAGCCCTTTCCATGCACACACCTCCGTACTTCTGCCCTTCACTTCCACACCTCCTCTGAATCTCAGTGTGCTTTTCTCTTCTAGTTGTAGAATTTTACTCAGCCAGCCTTCTGTGGTTCCAGATGATGTGGGTTTTGTCTTTTAGATGTAGTTTTGAAGTGGTTGTGCAAGGCAGCAAGTTCAGGTGTTTACCTATGCTGCCTTCTTAGTTTCTCCTCTCATTGATGTTTCTAACTCTCCATCTCTCTCCCTTCCTCTCTGTAAAAAAAATCAATAAAATATATTAATAAAATAAAAAGTGATGGAAAAAAGATATGTAATACTAATGCAACAGATTAGTTTACAGTCATCTTTAAATGAACAAACTAATGTGCATGCAACAACATGGAGAAATAGAAAAACATATTGTCGAACAAAAATGACAGAATGTCATAATATATGACTATATAAATTTTAAAAACAGACAAAGCTAAATTACATCAACTTTCATACATAGTTGGTGGAAACCACTTGCAAAAACGTTAGCAGTATCTATTAAAGATGCTTCATTAGAAATTCCACTCAGGTACATATCTAACGTAAATGCATACAGCATATTTAGCAACACACACAACAGTATTCATAGCAGAACCATTTGTAAGAGCCAAAACAAAACAAAACAAAAAAACTACATGGATATGTCCATAAACAATAGAATAAATAAAATTCTGACTATTCACAAAATGCAATAGTGTATAATAATGAAAATGAACTATCTACTATACTTAATAATATGAAAAAAAATGTCACAAATATAATAATGAATAAAAGAAACCAGTTCCAAAGAGTACATATTATATGATTCCATCTAAATAAAGTTTAAGAACAAGCAAAACTAATCCATGTTATTAGAATAATAATTTTGGTGGGAGACAGGTTTCTCATGAAAGGAACTTCTGGAATTCTGGTAATTTCCTGTTTTTAAATTTGAATTCTGGGTCCATGGGTGTGTTCAGTTGGTAAAAATTTATTAAGCCATACATTTATATGTGTACTTTCTGTATACATATTTTACTTCAATACATTATATAAAAAGTAAATGCTATTGTTTAGGAATGCATATTTAATCTATATATATAAAAGCTTAAGCGACTATTACAACCAGAATGACCAGTTGACCAGTTGCTATGGTGTGCACTGACCACCAGGGGCCGATGTTTAATGCAGGAGCTTCTCCCTGATGGTCAGTGTGCTCCCGTAGCCAACCTCCTGTGGCCCCTTCCCATGGCCGGCTGGCCCTGATTGCCCCAATTGGAACCTCCCCCCTTGCTGGCTGGCCAACCTCCTGCAGTCCCTCCCCCCAGCTGGACAACCTCCTGCAGCTCCTCACTCTGGCTGGCCAACCTCCTGTGGTTCCTACCTTCCCCACCCATGCTGGCCCACGCCGATTGGCCCTGATCACCAGTCAGGCCTTGGGGTCCACCTGTGCATGAATTTATGCACCGGACCTCTAGTAAAACTATGAAAAGGAGAAAGGAAATTATTACCAAAATTAAGTTAATAATTTTCACTGGAAGGAGTGAATGGCTGTCATCCAGAAGGGGCAAAGACTAAGGGCCCTACTCATGATCCAGGGAGGCAAAGTCTTCTAGAGGTGTTATCAATGTTCTAACTTTTTAGTTGTGATTATTAACATAACTTGCCTTATGTTATTTAACTAGTATATGATTTTGTTTCATTACATTTCTGTACCTGTTAAATTTCATTATTAAAAAGATGAAAAGTTAGCCAAAAACAAACCAAGAATGCAGGGTCAGGCAAAAATAGATTTATAGTTGTTCAAATAGAAAATAATGGAACAGTTAATAAATAATAATACAAGAATAAACTCTGCTTCGCATACTTACAACTGTAAACCTACTTTTGCCCCTCCCTTTATGTAATATGGAAATGCTTATTAATAAAGTGATAAGTGAAAAGTAAGTTTTTTAAAGCTCATACAAAAAAATAAATATACAAAAAATATCTGGATGAATAACATTTTTCTATTTGAATTTTCTCAAATTAAATATTATATATTACACATAGGTAAAACATAAGACTTAAAAATGTACACCTCCTTTAGAAACTTTTTAAGCATAAGAGCTTTTATTGTTCAATTTTTCATGTTTATTCTAACCCAGAAACATTATATTAATACTTACCTTTTTTCCCCTATTACTTTTATTTTGATTTTCTAGGAACCTCATCTTTCTTACTTATTTAATTTTATATTACCATTTTCCACAGGTGTTTGATGCAAATGGAGTTGATGTTACTCCTCGACCTCTTTACCGACCAGATCCACTGGTTGGTACACCAAAGCCAAGTAAACTATTGACATCACGAGAAGGATCATTTACATCAGAATATGTAGCTTCCCACAGCCTTTTTCAAAATACACTAAATCCTAGTATGTTAGGGCAGTTTTCAAGGTAGAGTATACTGTTCTATACTTTTAAAAAATATTATATACATTTTCTTTTCATTTTAGTTGCATATATGTAACTTAGATGTCTATTGTCCCCAGTGTCCAAGTTCCACTCTGTCATCCTAATGTACCATCTTTATGATCTTCTCATAATTAGATCTAATTAGAAATAGATTAGATCTAATTTGCACGTCTTAAGTTCTTCTACACTCACCCCAAAACATTAGTGAAAAAAAATATATAAACTTTACTCAATATTTCCTGAAAAAACAAAAGAGGAGGCTAGTCTTACATACCCACAGACATATTTCTTCAGTTTCTTTTATGCTACAATTTATGGAAAAGAGTGGCTTTTGCTCCCCTCCCTCACACCTATTCTCTCATGCAAATCCCTATTCTCCTAGGGTTTGATTCCTCTCTTGTTTTATAATCTTCTTTCTTGTAAATGAAATGGTATGCATTTATTATGTAGATACTAGCACACTTGACATTTCGTGAATGCTTCTAGTAGAGAAGTTCAGATCTTTGCACTAATGAATCAGCGTATCCTAAATCAATGTAAAGATTAAAGGGAAATATTTGAGTGTGTAATTTTCAATCTGACAAATTAAAAGTTCCAGATGTTAACTAAGCATGAGATTTAGGGGTGGGGGAGTGAGTGTGCTCAGCAAAACAATGGATATTCCATTAAATTTGACTCACCCATTTGGAGTGCAGTTGGGACTTTATAGACAGAAAGGTGGGGAGGGGGGGGGAACCGCGGTTAATATGTTGGAGTAATTTTAAGTCCATGTATTTAAGGAAGTTATTTTGGAACTCTTTAATATACTGATTGCCCAATGAATACATAGATTTTCTTTTAAGTAAATCTTGAGAAAGCCTTTGTCAAAATGAATAAGTCACATTTAAGATGGGATTTGAATGATGAGCAGAAACCGGGTGAAAAATGAAAGGAAGTGTATTCTAGGCTGAGGCCCTGAAGTAGGAATGCTCTACAAGACTGAGGAATAAAATTAAAAAAGAAGAAGAAAAAAAGAAAAATGGAAGATAAAAGTTATATTGAAGATGGAGAGTCTAGGTAGGTCGGCTATATTCTAGGTTTTTACCCTAAATATATTGGGAATCCATTGAAGGACTTTAGGTATAGTTTTGATGTGTTATCTCTAAAATACAATACATTACTTAAAGAATATAAAAAATCAACTTGATGTTTGAAAAACTAATTTTTATCAATTTTGCTTATGATTATAGTATAATTGGTTCTCAATCTGATATTTTCATTTATATGTTTAATTATCCATAAGGACATCTAAGCAAATGAATAATGTTGTTGTTATTAAAGGTCAGTTTTAGGAAGCAGTACAGTTTCTAAGTCAAGTTTATCAACTACTGAATCATTAGCAGAAGACCTAGAAGAATCAGCCTATAAACGGGAAGGACTGCCTAGTGTTACAGGTAATGAAAATACAGTTTTTTATTGCAGTAACAGACCATCATATTTCTTTAGCAAATATGCTCATTATTTTTTGGATACTTGAGATGGAAGAACTGTGGTAATGATTCCCCAATGCTCGTTTGTGCAGTAGCAACATGAACATTACCAGGGTAGTAACTATCCATATAATTCTAAAAGTTCCCAGGGTGGTTGTCCTGTACCACCATCCTCAAGAATCAGAGTGTGTTTTAAAAGACCTCAGCTTTTTATTCAGAGACAAATAATTCTGATACATTGTGATCAATGCTGTAATAAGATATATGCCTAATGTGATGGGAGCACTTAGAAAGGAAATATTAGCTCCTTTGAGGTGAGAAAAAAAAGAGAATGTTCATAGAAAGAACATTACTGACATTTGAATTGGGGTTTAAATATCATAGTTATTTGTGAGAACGAAGAGTAGAGGCCAGTTCCAAGCCAAGGATAGAAGATGAAATAGTGCAAAAGATTATGAAAGTAAAGGTAAAAGAATGAGGAAATAATGGTTGGTCAGAAGTACTGGAAGGAAGGGGTGCCTTCTTGAGGGGCATTTGCCTTGGGGTAGAGTAAGAATGTCTTTTCCTCTAAGATGATAATGAAAGATTAGTGAGAATATTGACATGGTTGGGAAAGTGCTTGATGGAATCTTCCTTTTTGGTGATGGACTCTTATTTTTGGTGTAATAGAAATGCTCTTGACAAGTAAGAGGATACATGCTACCATTTGTTTATACAAATAAAGGCTTATTTTTCCCCCACATTAAAAGAAGTTAAGAGGTAGATAACTTTTGGTCTTAATTTTGTGACTTATTTATGCCAGACTCTGGATTGGCAGCTCCATCATTCTCTTCCCTTAAGCCCTTTCTTGCCTGGTGCCTCATGATCTCAATATATATCTCCCACAGCTCTGGGTATTATCATATCCACATTAAAGGCAGAAGAAGGAAAACGTCACATCTCTTTTATCAGGAAAGAAAAGATTTCCCAGCTGACTTTGTTCTTGTTTATTTTTTATTGTATCTTGTTGGCCAGAACTGTGTCACATGGCCACCCCTAGCTTTAAGAGAGTGTAGGAAACCTAAATATTTGGTGTCTTAGTCTCCATTAAATGGAAAGAGGCAAGGAAAGGGAAGAAGACTTAGCAATGAAATTTTAGGCAATCAGCAATGTCTGTTGCAGGAGTGAAACTCATCCTCTCATAGAGAGACCAGGAGGACCGGATTATTGTCATGACCATCTCCAGCCCTTTCTGCTTATATTCTTGTCACCTCCAACTTGTTTTTCTAAACTATATTCAGAATAATCTGTTTAAAAATACAATCTCCCCTCCTTAAAAACCCTTCTGTGGATTTGCATTATTCTTTTTTTTTTTTAAATCATTTATTTATTTATTTTTACATATTTTATTGATTTTTCCCCCCTCCCTCCCACACATCCCCTCCTTCCCCAGAGTTTTATGTCCATTGGTTGTATTATATGCATGTATACAAGTCCTTCGGATTTGCATTATTCTTATGATAAAGACTAAAATCAATATATCATAATTTACATAAGGCTTTCTTATATAAAAGACAAATAGAAGTGATACAACTTCACCCAGGAAGCCTTGAAGAATGATAATAGATGTTTATGTCTATATAGTTAGTCTCTAAAGTGAGTTGTAACTAAACAATTCTACTTCTACCACATGGCTGATTTTTTAGACTAGAGTAGTGTTTCTTAATTTTAAATGTACATTAACCTCATCAGGTATATCTCTTACAATTCCCATAGAAGGATCAACATACTGAGTTGGAATATCTGGGAGTGGGAGTTAGATATAAGTAGTGGTATCCTGATAAGTATAAAGCAACCTGCTCTGAGATAGAGGAAAAATAGGTATAATTTTGATTGATTCACACTATATGGCTATTATTGTGTTGCTTGTTGTCATTTTTTATTTTGACAATGTTAGGGGAAAGAGGTCAGTACCCCTGACTAAATAGTCAGGTATTACATGTTTTAAAAGTTCTTGTGGCACACCAGGGCATAGAGACATACTGTTTGAAAATTACTGATGTAGATAAAGAGGGAACATTCACTAACTAATTATATGAGGTAGCGTTAGCCTAATACCCAAACCAGATAAAGACATTATAAGAAAATTATCGTCTAATAATTCTCATGGAACATAGGTACAAAAAAAAATCTTAAAATAATACTGGAAAACAAAATCTAGCAATTAATAAAGGGGATAATACATTTCAACTAAATATGGCCCATTTCAGGAATAAAAGGCTGGTTTAATATTTATAATTTTCACAAAGGTAATGTATCAAATTAACAGATGGAATAAGAAAAAAAACATATGATTTATCAATAGATGTAGAAAAAGTACTTGCTGAAAAATAAAATCTATAATTAAAAAAGTTTAAAAAAGACTAGGAGGAATTTTCTTAACCTAATAAAGGAAATATACAAAAACTTAAGTCAAAGGTACAAATATCCAGTTATAAAAGTAAAAGTCATGGCGATGTAATGTACAGCAAGGTGATTGTAGTTAATAATAATACTGTGTTACATATTTGAAAGGAGCTAGAAGACTGGAGCTAAAATTGTAACCATGTATGATGATGAATGTTAACTAGACTTATTGTGGTGAGCATTTTGCAATATATACAGATATTGAATCATCATATTATACATCTGAACTAATATAACGTTTTATCACTTGTGCTTCAAAAAACAAACACAAACAAACACACACACACACACACACACACACACACACACACACAAACACCCCCAAGGTTCATGTTATATTTAATGATGAGAGGCTGAATGTTTCTCACAAAGATCCAGAATAAGGAAAACACATCTCTCACAAATCCTATTCAAAATTATATTGGAAGTTCTCCCTAGTTTAGCAAGACAAAGAAAATGAAGTTTATACACATTGGAGAGAAAAAAATAAAACTGTCCATATTTGCAGATGACCTCATTATGTCTGTAGAAAATGCTAAAGCATCTACAAAAACAAAAATCCCTGTCACTAATAACCTTATATCCTGCAATGTTGCAGGATGATATATAAAAGCAAATTACTTTCCTATATACCATCATGAACAACTTGAATTTGAAATAAAAAAAAAACAATAGCATTTACCATAGAGCAGAACAAAAGGAGGTATAAATTTAACAAAATATGGATCATATCTGTATACAAAAACTACAAAACAGGGAAGAAAGAAATGAAAAAGTTCTAATTAAATGGAGAGGTATTACGTATTCATGTATTGAAATTCAATATTATTTAGATGTCACTTCTTGATAATTTGATGTATGGGAGCAGTACAATCTCTATCTAAGTCTCTGTTAAATGAAAAGAAGGAAGGAAAAGGAGAAACTTCACCCAGGAAGCTTTAAAGAATGACAATAGATGTTTATATCTATATAGTTAGTTATATCTATATAGTTGCATATGTTAACTTGCATATGTTAACTAACCAATTCTATAATTTATATAGATAGAAAGACAAAGGCCCTAGAATAGCCAACACAACCCTGAAAAAACAAAAGAACAAATTTGAAGGACTCACATAACCTGACTTCAAGAGTAAATATAAAGCTACCATGTCAAGATAGCATAGTGATAAAACAATAAACACTTGTCAATGAAACAAAATAGAAAGCCACCAAATAGACCCACAGTTAATATAATCAACTGATCTTTGACAAAGGCACAAAGGCTATTCAATAGAGAAAGGCTTATCTTTTCAATGACTGTAATGGAACAATTGTAGATCAAAATGCAAATAAATAAACGAATGAATGAATAAATAAAGTATAAAATTTCTAGAAGAAAAATTCAGGAGATAATCTGTGTGATTTTGGATTGGTGATGATATTTTAGATATGTCACCAAAAGCATAGTTTATATAAGAAAAACATTGAAAGATTGGATTTTATTAAAATACAATTTTTACAATGTTAAGTGAAGGAAAAGGCAAGCCACACAATTTGAGGAAGCATTAGAAAATTACATATATGACAAAGAATTTGTATTTTAAATGTATAAAGAACTATTAAAACTCAACCAAAAAGAAAAAAGAGCTTAAGAGTAGAACTAAGTCTTCTCTAAAAAAATAAAAATTAAAAAAAATGCATATGGCAAATAAGCATATATAAAGATACTCAGCTTCATTTGCAGTTAGGGAAATGCAAATAATAAGATATCACTGCACACCCATTAAAAGAGCTAAAATCCAATACCAGTTGGCAATACCAATTGCTAGTAAGAATACGAAGCAATAAGAACCCTTAGTCATTACTGATGGGCATGCAAATGATATAAAAAATTGAAAGACAATTTTGTGGTTTTCTATAAAGTTAAATATAGCATTATCATCCAATCCAGTAGCTCCACTCCTAAGTATTCAACTGATTTGAAAACATACTTGCATGAAAATGTTTCTAGTCACCTAATCACAAAAACATTGGAATCAATCAAGATGTCCTTCAATAGGTGAATGGATAAATGAACCAGGGTACATCTATCCAATGGAATATTATTCAGCAATTAAAATAAATGAGCTATAAATCTGCACTACAACATGGATGGATCTTAAATGCTTATTGCTAAGCCAAATAAGCCAGTCTAAAAAGGCTGTGTGTAGCATTGCATAATTCCATGTAAATGATATTATGGAAAATGCAAAAGTATAGAAACAAAATAGATCAGTGGTTGCCAGGGGCTTGAAGAGGGTAGGGAGTTTAGTAGGTGAAACAGTGGATTTTTTTTTTTTAGGAGGGTGAAACTATTCTATATGATACTATAGTGAGGAAAACATGAAAATATGCATTTATAAATTCTAGAAACTTACAGCACAAAAAATGAACCTTAATATATTTACATTGAAAATGTAGTACAGTGAAGAGACTGAAGGACCTTTTAATGGAATACAGACGGTAGCATAAGAATCCAACTTCTTTTACAAACATATGACATCACCTCACTGAAAGAGTGGTGGTGGTTGAGGGGGAAAGATGTAGATATAAATGATGTTGACATTGAATAGAAAATATAAGATTTAAAACATGATACCACATAGAACAGTATACTCTAGTTGATAAAGTCATCTGTCATGGGGAGATGGGGAGACAATTCCTCACCATTGTACATACATACTAGGTTTGAACACATAAGTAAATGAGAGGCAGACAGGGGAAGCAGATTTCACACTACTGTTGGAGTGGGAGATGACTGACAAATAAGGGAAGAAGTTTAGAATTATAAATGTGTTACCAGAAGAGAATTAGAAACATTAATATGAACTCATGTTATCTAAATACATATTAATACATGTATATTGATATAGATATATACATGGATTAGTATACAAACAAGTATTTTCTTGCTCTTTCAGATAGGAACAATGTCTGAAGGCCTAGAAACAATGATATTCCCGTAGCAATAGCTATCCTGTACCCAGATCTTGGTTTCTAATACTATTCTCCAATAAAAGGAACCAGGAATGTTTGGAGAAATGATGGATTCTAGGACTGTGGCAGGGAATATAAAATGCATCAGAAAGTAAAGTGCTAAGAAAAAAACCTACAATAAATAAACAAAAAATGGTGGGGTTATGTGAAAAAGACACAGTGGCCAACAGAAAGAGCTTCCAATGGTCAAAGATGTAAAATTCCAATAACAAAATAAATAGTGTAATATTGGATTATACTCAAAATATAAAGCAAATACCCATGACTTCATACTGATGTAAATAAGTGATTGGACAAGTAAATAGATGGGGAAGAATAGACAAATCTCCTATACAAAAGTATTCTAAATAATTTATATATAATAGATATTCCTCCCTCAAGAAGGTGGAGCTTAACACTCTATCCTGTTTAAGTGTGGGCTTTGCATATTGATTGCCTTCTAAAGAGTACTGGATATAGAGGAGAGAAGAATAACTTGAGAGCAGAGAATCCAGACAAACACTACCTCAGTTCAAGGTTAATATCACCAAATGGTTAGTCATGTTGATAACATGTACTTTTGATATGATATGATGAGAATGATGCTTTTCCTTTGTAGTCTTCCTCCCAGAAATCCATAAGCCCTCTCTGACATCAGACAAAACCAAATTGAAGGACATTCTACAAAATACATGACCAGTACTCCTCAAGACTCCTGGTCATCAAAATAAGAGAAATTTAAGAAACTGTTACAACCTAGGGAAACCTAAGGAGATATGATGACTAAATGTAATGCATCTTGGATGAGATCCTGGAAAAGAAAAAGGACATTAGTTAAAAACTAAGAAAATTGGGATAAAGTGTGACTTTTGGTAATAATGAAGTATCAATATTGGTTTATTAGTTTTAATAAATGGTAACAAAAGGAAAAACTGGATGCAGGGTATACAGGAAGGAACTCTTCATACTATTTTTGCAAATTTTCTGTATATGTGAAACTATTTTACAATGAAAAGTTTATTAAAGGTTTAAGAAAATGTCTAGCGGTGAGTTTCTCTAGGTGATTCTGATGCATGCTAAAGTTTGAGAACCTTACTTTACTGTATAATAAAAAGGAAGCTTTTGATTAGAAAAGCTTGTAATTTTATTGTAAGGTAGGGACCAAACAGAATCTTAACAGATTGTCTCTGGATGGACTCAGGGAATAAATGAATAAGTAACAGCTATTTATCTTTTACATAAACTCGTAAAGAAAGAATATTAATTTGCATATAATCCATTTGTGAGGAGGGGTATGAATAAAATGCTTTTGTGACTCAATTGTAGTGTAATTGTATCACACCAATTCTAGCCAAGTAGTAACCAAAGAAGGTTTCACAGATTGCTGACTAGTGGGGTCTTTGAGCTTAGCCAAGAGATAGTATGCCTTTCCCCCACACAGTTCTGAATTAATTGAAAAATATAATAAGAGTAGCTATGATAGATTGGAGCCAAAATGTGACATTAAGGATAAAGTCCTGCTATTGAATTCTCAAATTTGACAGACCCACTTACCCATTCATTCAAGAATCTCGACCACCTCTGGTCTATCCCAACCCTCTTAAGGAATATCATGAATAAAGGTGTGGAGAGGAGCCAAGATTGTCACACTAGAACTCACTCCTTCTGGAAGAACTATCAGGAATGGGGAAGATGTATTCTCTCCATCTCTGGAAGTAAATAAGGGCAAGTGAGGCAAATTGATAAATTTGTGGGCTTTTCCAGGTAGAGAGGGATATGCCGTCAAGATCTAATTGTACAGCCATTTTAGCTGTAGGGGATAGATTCTATAGGTGTACTGGAGGCCTGGTGCATGGAAGTCTTGCATGGGTAGGGTCCCTAGGCCTGGCCAGTGATCAGGGCCCATAGGGGCCTTCTGGCTGCTGGCTGGAGCCGTCCTTCTGGCTGCCGGCCGGGGCCTTCCTTCCTCAGCTGCTGACTGCCAGCTGAGGCCTTTCTTTGTTCCATGCCACCCAATGGTAGTCAGCACATGTCATAGAGAGTGATCGAACTCCCGGTCTCCTGGTAGAAATCCTGAGGGGACAATTTGCATATTAGGCTTTTATATATATAAATGAGGGCGTTCCAGGCAAATTCTTAATATAAGCAACATTCAGAAAATGGTTAATACAGAGATCCAGGCAAAAATCAGCCATTAAGTAGAAGATTGACTAGACTCTTGCTTTTCTACAATTAGTGGAATAAATAACTTGAATTTTTTTAGGTTATAAGGGAAGTGTTTTTCTCAGGCTTTGGAACTTCTTAAGAGGAGACTGAGCCTTAATATGTGGAAAGTGTACACCCTTAAGTTTTGTTTTTCTAAAGCCATCCAAGCTTTACCCTTCTCAAAGACTCATGGATTCCTGCTTCACATCCTGTTTTTAACAGAAAACATTGAACTCTGTGTGACCTAATTACCTTGTCATGGCTTTTTATTACCTGAATCGAACTTCCCCAGTCCTGAATGATTTTTTTTTTTAAACTTGGACCTCTGGCTAGCTTATAAGTTTGAGGCCAACCTTTTTCAATGTATTATTTGCATGGATAATAAGCCTATTTTGATCCTATATTTAACCAGAATTTCCAATGAAGAGTCTTTAGCTCTTGGTAAAGATGATTAGAGGCAGGCTGTAATCTAAATCAAAAGACAACTGAAAAGAAAGACAAAGAACAAAAGGTTGTTGTAAATATAGACTAGAAATTTGTTTAGGTTTAAAGGAAGGTTGCATATTATGTTCCCAGTTATTTATTATTTTAAAGTAGCAATTAGCAAATTATTTGTATTGTGCATTTTAGAGTTACAAGTTACGAAGAAAACAACCAAAAAAGCTATAACAAAAGAAGATCTAAAGAAGATGGTAGACATCCTACTCACAGAGACAAAAACAATAACATTATTTGACCTACCAACAGTCATGATTTCTGTGGAAGCTGATGACGCTGACAAAATACTGTATGTATGGTTCAATTGTTTATATTGCTTCTATAATTTAAATGCTAAGACAGAGTTTCTTATTATTTTTTAAAAAATATGTTTTTATTGATTTCAGAGAAAGGAAGGGAGAGGGTGATGAGAGAGAATCATCAGTAAGTTGCCTCCTGCATGTCCCTTATTAGGTATCAAGCCTGAAACCCAGGTATGTGCCCTGACTGGGAATCCAACTGTGACTTTCTGGTTCATTGGTTGACGTTCAACCTCTGAGCTACACCGTTTGAGTGGAGTTCTTATTCTTGTTTCTGTCCTGGGGGATTCCTGGATAAATACTGTAGTGTATGGGCATGGTGGGTGAAATTATTTGTTACCCTATGTGTCCTGTGAAATTATACTTAAAGTGTTTATGCTGTATGCACCTTTGTGTAGAGGAAGAACCCATAGCTTTACCATATTCTTTTAAAAGTAGAGGAACTACTAAGATAAGTCATAAAATAAATAAAGGAAGTTTCCAAGCATCAGTAGAGGGTTTAATGATTTTAGGCATATGTAAGTTTTCAATTGAAAAGAAAAGGACTGACATTTTTATATTCAGAATTTAAGAAGGGAATGTATGTTATGGGAAAATAATTGACTTTATTAGAGTAGATTTTCCATTTCTCTTTATTAATGACTATAAACAGATTACTAGTTTTTGCCTCATGTATTTTGAATCTCTGTTAGGCGCATACACATTCAGGATTGTCGTCTTTGAAAAATCGATCCCTTTATCACTATGTACTAACCCACATGTGTCAAACACAAGGCCCGCGGGCCAAATCCGTCCCGCCAGGCCTTGCAATGTGGCCCGCACCGCGCTGTCATCACTGCACTCCGCTGCGTTTCCATCACAATGACAGTTTATGACTGTTCAGTAAACCATTTGACCCGCAATTTAGGCTGGATTTTAGATTTTGGCCCCTTCTCTGATTGAGTTCGACACCCCTATACTAACCAATCTTTATCTCTGATGATTTTCCTTGCTCTGAAGTCTGATCTGTTTGAAATTGATATAGTTACTACAAATAAATTATTAATGTAGTTATTTAGATTATGTAGCTTCAAATATAATTTGAATATGATGCAGAGTACTAAAAAATACAATAAAATAATTTTGGGGATATTATTCTTACCCAAATATAAAATATTTTTTTATAATTGCATATTATTTTTTATTAAGGTATTAAATGTGTACATATCTTATCATTGCCCCCCACTCTCATACATGCCCTCCCTCCCCAAAGTTTTTCGTCCATTGGTTTTTGCTTATATGCATGCATATAAGTCCTTCGGTTGATATCTTATCTCCCCCATATCTCCCTACCCTCCCCGCTGTAATTTGACAGTCTGTTGCTTTACTCAAATATAAAATATTATAGTGTTGTTTGCATTATAAAATATAGTACAATTAGATCTTGAATAATATACTTTTAAAATTTCATATGACAAATGTGAAAGCTACCAGGACCAAAAAAAAAAAAAAAAAAAAAAAAAAAAAAAAAAAAAAAAAAAAAGGAAAGAGAAAAAGAACAAAGTGTTAGATAAGAAATCATCAAAGAGTGAAAGAGTGGGAGATGTTAGAAGCAAATGTTATATTAACTCATAAATCTAGACTCCACATTAAGTCTTGGGTCGCCAACAAACTGAAAAAGCTAAATGAGAGATTCTTTTATTAAACTCAGACCCTTAAAAGATCTTAACTATCTCCAGTGTTCTCAGGTTAGCAGGATCTCCTAGCCACTATGATAAGCAAGCACAAGTCTTCTCTGAAGGAAAATATACCCATTTAGGCTCTTCAGATTCCTCAGATAGGTTTGGTAAAAGCACAGTAAAGCCATAAAGATTACTAGTTGCTTTTTAAAAGCCATTATAAATGAGAGTTAAACTAAATAAGAAACCCTAGATTTAGACGCTAACCACTAATATATTGTATTCTATTATATAATAAAAGGGTAATAGGCATATCGACGCAATGGCAGAATGACTGGTCACTATGACATGCACTGACCACCAGGAAGTAGACACTTAATACAGGAGCTGCCTCCAGGTGGTCAGTGCGAGCGCTGCTCAGCCAGAAGCCAGACCCATGGCTGGCAAGCAAAGCAGTGGTGGTGGGAGCCTCTCCTGCCTCAGCAGCAGCACTAAGGATGTCCTACTGATGGCTTAGGCTGGCTTCCATGAGGAGTGGGCCCATGGGGAACGGGCCTAAGCTATCAGTCAGAGATCCCCTGCTCCCAGATTGCAAAAGGACACAGGCTGGGCTGAGGGGACTGCCCCCTCCCTTCCAAATGCACCAGGCCTCTAGTATTACCATCTACACTAATTAAAGAGAAACATGCAAATTGACCATCCTCTACCACACCCACCAGCCAATCAGGAGTGAGCATGCAAATTAACCAAACAAAGATGGCAGTTAATTTGCATACACCAGGCGCTTAGTGAAGACTGAAGACGGCATAGAAGGATGCCAAGCACTTCAGAAGGAAGCAAAGTGGTAGAGAAGGGAGCAAGGCAGCAGAGACGGGAGGGAGTGAGGCAGTGGAGAAAGGAGGGAGTGAGGAAGAAGAGAAGGGTTTGCTTGTTGTAATTAAAAAGTAAACACTGACTTAATTCTTGTAATTAAAAAGTACATTAAATTTAAATAAGCCATAATAGAATATAGATTTAATAAATGCATCTGAATGACATACAAACAAAGATCTGGATAAGTTATATGAATTAAAGTATGTATAATATACAAAATAAAGTATGTATAATATACAAAATAAAGTATAATATACAAAATAAGAATGGGATATTAAGTATGACAAATTTAAAAAGATATTGACAATAGAATAAAGACCTAATATACAGTTAGTCATTTACAAAAGGACAGAATAAAAAGAATAGAGGTGAATTACTATGTAAAGAGAATGGGTAAGGACTTTCCCAAACTATTTAAAGACACCATTCTACTGAAAAAGAAATGAATTTTTTAAAAATCTAAAGAAAAATAGAAAAGAACTTAGTGCATTGTACTGGTGCTGTATTGAGCATATAACAAAACAACAAATAGTGAAAGATTTTTAAAAGAAATAACATATCATCTATAGAGAAACAATTAAACTGACAGCATTATTTGGGATAAAGAAGGTTACTTCATAATGACAGGAAGGTATAATAATTCTAAACTTGAATTTTTATAATAAGATAATCTCCAAAATATATGAAGCAAAATTGGAAACTTGATAAGTATCCTTTAAATTAAATATTTAAACATACCTCTATTAATTATTGATAGGTCAACTGATAAAAATTAGTACAGATATAGAAAACTTGAACCAAAAATATAATCTAATGGTTATACATAGAACTCTACATTCTTTACAGGCACACATGGAACATTCATAAAAACCATCCTTGCACAAGGCCATGAGACAGTTTCAAAGGTTTCAAAGAAGTGAAATTTAAAAAAATAAATTCTCTAAACACAGTGGAATGAAGATAAAAATTAGTAACAGCCCTAGCTGGCTTGGCTCAGTGGATAGAGTGTTGGCCCAAGGACTGAAAGGTCCCAGGCTTGATTCCAGCCAAGGGAACATACGTGGGTTGCAGGTTCCATCCACAGCCCTGGTCAGACACTTGTGAGAGGCAATCAATTGATATATCTCTCTCACATTGGCATTTCTCTCTCTTGGTCTCTTCCCCTCTCTTCCACTGTCTCTAAAAATTAATGGAAAGGTATCCTTGGGTGAGGATTAACAATAACAAAAAAAAAATTAATAACATAAATCTCAACTAAAACATGGACACATATTTACATATACATTTGGAAGTTAGCAAGCACATTTCCTAAATTCTTCATGAATCAAAGGAAAAGTCATACTGGAAATTTAGAGAATACTCAGAACTAAATAATTATGAAAGTAATACAGGATGTTATAAAAGTAAGTGTACATTGAGGAAAATTTATAGCTTTAAGTGTTTATATCAAAGTTTATCAAATCTTTGTGGAGATAGTCTTAACATATTTTGGGTGGGCAATGAAAGTAGTAGTGACGTTGGGAGGTATAAAATAAAAAACTTATTTGTTGGTAGTTTAATAAAAGGCAATCTCTACCTAAGGAGAGTTTTGATCTCTCCCTTTCTGGTGCAGTCCACATTAAGAAAGTCATTTTAAGAAAATGCATAATATAAAGAGATGATATGTGTAGTAATATTAATTTTTGTATTTAGTTTAATATACTACATTTTTTATAGGAAGAGAAACAAGAATTATGAGAACCTTTGTAAAAATAGATTAGGCAATGACTTATATGTTGAAAGAATGATGCAGACTATTAATGGAGCACCGAAGAATAAAGATGTTCAATGTGACAGAATTATAAAGGAAAACAAAGGTAATTTATGTTTTATTCTGCTTTGATAAACTATCATGTTTTAATATGCATTATATGAGTCTATCAATTAATAAGTAAATATTAAAGTATATAAAGTAAAAACTAGAAATAATTTGGTCAAATCACAATAGTATCTGAGTACTGTGATACACAGCTTTCAGAATATGACAATTGAGTTAACTAGTAATAAACATAGATATAGAAGATTTAAATAACACAATTATCATTTTTTATCTTTACACAAACTATGTCATAGAACTTTGTACTCTTCAAGTGTTTATGAAATGTTATAGAATAATTGTTTATGTTACAAAGAATATCATGTACAACTAATAACATTTAATGCGAAGCAGATACTATTCTAGGCCTTTTACACTATTTTAGACCTTTAACTGGTTTAATTCTCACAATGACCCTATGAAGTAGGTATTATTATTATTCCCCATTTTATAGAGGAAGAAACAAGCAAAGGGACATTAACTAACTTGACCAAGGTCACTCAGCTAGTACTGCAGACAACTAATATCCCTCAGTAGTCTAGTTCTAGCCTGTTCTTGTAACTACTATCTTTCAATGTTTATAAATTAACAACCCTGAGAACACTGCATAGTACAAAATCTGTGAAGTGTTGGCAAAGGGGTAATTAGAAGAAAGGTTATAATCATAATGGCCTTTGTAATTCAGCAAAACTACAATCTAGGTAGCTAAAAGGAAGAAAGCTGTGATAGGAGAATGTCCAAGGAATTTCTAAGCATCTGGAGATGTTCAATTTCTTATTATGGTTGATAAGTAGCTGGTGTTAACTTTTTCTTGACACTACACATGTATTATTATACACTCTTTGGTGAATGGTATATATTTTACAAGAAAATTTTTATTAAAATAGTAAAAGACAGTTTATACTAAAGAATTTGGATACAAATCAAGCAAATATTAAGGTTTTATAGATCTCTTCCTTCACCTATTTTCAATGAAATTGAAAGAGATTTAGGAGTCAGACAGATGGAAATCAAAATATTATGTTTATTACTGATAAAGTTAATGGAAAAATGTAGCCTTCAATTTGCAGTTAGATGGGCTTGTTATATCTTACCTCCAGAATAGAATTTACCAATAGTGATTGGCACAACTAGCCAACATCAGACCTCTTCTGTAGAGGTGAGAACAGACAAGAATGAATGCTTTCTGCAAATGAGCAGGCCTAACAAAAGGATCCAGAAGTGACTTAACTGAAATTCCTTCTAAACTCTCCTACAGGATTAGTCATTTCTCTTTCCCTGGTAATGCATAAGTGAAGGGCAAAGGCCAGAGTGTTAAGTTAGTGACGTTTCTTCTGTAAAGATTCACAAAAAGTGAGGAAAAATTTTCCCACTTAACAGTATATAAGTAGTAATCTATATATTTAAAGAGGTAATATGCAAATTAGGCCAGGATGCCATAATGGGTCAAGACCAGACAGGAGGAGGCTGTGCACTCAGGTGAGGCCCAGAGCAGAGATGGAGACAGAGACAGGGAGGCCTGCCCGAGCCAGTGCGGTGGCTTTGGTGGCCCCAGAATGGACACATGTAGTGGGCAGGAGAGCGGGGGGGGGATGCTGCAAGTCAGACGCAGATCCCAGCCCCCTGCAGCGCTGGTCCGGTCTGACTCCTGCGAGTCAAGCACAGGTCCTGCGCCACCCCCCCCCCCCCCCCCCTTGGGGTGCCTCCTTGCACAGCGGGAGTCGGGGCACCTCCTCCCAGGATTCCAATCGTGCACTGGGCCTCTAGTTTATAGTAAAAATGGCATCACAAATAAGTGAATAACAGAATAAGTGTATTTGTGTTTCTGGCTAACTTTTGAAAATACAGTTAAATCTTATAACTTTGTAAATTTCATAAAGCTACTTTGTTTTCTACATATGATACTACAATAAAAAAGTTTTTTTAAATCAAAGTATGTGTGATATGAGCTCATTTTATTAAAATATATACATATTGGTTTACATACACATACATTTATATGTGAATCTGGAAGGACATACACTGGAATGTTAGCAGTTATTTCTGGGTGATGGACATGCAAGTCATATTTACCTTTTTTTTTTTTTTTTTTTTTTCCAAATGACCATGTCTTCTTACTCAGCTAAAAAGTAATTATTCAGTAAATGTTATATAGCCAATTGCTACTCTTTTGTAGTCTGAAATAAACTAGTAGAAAGAAACTTTTAAATATAAGAAAACTATTTAGGCATATCTGAGACTCAAAAATACTTTTTCTGATACTAGTTAACATTGGTTTCTTTAATAGTATGTAACAATATAAAATTAGAAGGTTATAACAATTTATTATTCCATCTTGTCCATGATATTATGGATGTGGTTTGAGATTTTCTATTTTTAAAATTACTTTATTCAAATGAACAAATATAATCATGGTACCCAAAGTAAAATTACCAATGTTATCTTCAAAGAAGAAACAATTGTAAATCACTCTACGTTTTACATTGCTCACTTATAACATGCATACTCATTTATGTAGGAATTATTTTTTTAGTGGCCATGTAACAATATAATTCAACTTAATAAACTATCAGGTAAAGGGGGGGAGATTAGGTAATTTAATATTTAAAGATGACTTCTTTCTATGATCTTTTACTTTATGAACATAGAAATTATATCCCTTTCAATTCAGCAAAATATACTATTTATTCTGTGAATGACTTTGCTAGATACTATTAAAATGAATTCAGTAAGATAGAAATGGTACTATGAAATGTGAGTTAACATTCCTACTAATTTAAAACCTTGTTAAACCCCAGAGAGCCTTCATTTTTCATGAATAAAAGCTTCTGACAATGAAGTAGTTGCATTTATTAGATCCAGATCCTGTTTTTATTTTCAGGGGGAAAATTCTTTACTTTAAATGAAAGTTTAGCATGTAGGAATATATTATTATGTGGTCACTGATAAAATAATTGCTATATAAGCCTTTCATTTTTAGATCAGCATCTAAGGGTTGGGAGGCTTTTTGTTTGTTTGTTTGTTTGTTTTTGGTAGACTGTTATATTTGCTCATTTGAATAAATATAGATAAGCAAAAAATTGAAAGAGAAGTTCAAAACCCTACTACTCTATCAGCTTTATGAAAACAGGGTCTGTCATTTTCTCAATAAGTATATAGAAAATTTTCCTTGATAAAATGTAATTAGATGATTATAAATACAAAGTTCTGGAGAATATAACATGTTCTTATCTGTAACCTTAGTAAAGGAATAGTAAACCTTGTTATATAACATTACTAGAGGCCTGATGCACGAAATCGGTACAAGGGGCTTGGCCATTGCCGCCCTGCGTGCCTTGGCCGGCACTCGCAGCTCTGGCTTCATCTGGAAGGTCATCTGGAAGGATGTCCAGAAGGTCATTTGGCTGTACGGTCTAATTAGCATATTACACTTTTATTATTATAGATTTTCTGGGCTCATGTCAGCTGACAAACTGATGAGCTTATGCTGTGCCAGCGGGGGATGAAGAGGGGGGGTGGAGTAAGGGAATCAGAAAGGATGGTGAGGCTAATTAGGAGCTGCCACTAAAGTCTAGATACTACGAGTGTGATGCCTAAGGATCTCTGAAGGTGTCTTCATGATTTATTTCTCTTTTATTTTTATTCACTTCCTGCCATTGTGGTTAAATGTCCCTCCTCCCCCCATCCCCCAGACAGTAGATATCTTAGATTTTGCTTTGATGAGTATGTGTAAACTAAAATATTAGAATTTGGTTTATAGTAATTTTTACCTTTCTGTCTCTTTATTTAGGCATAATGTCTACTGCTTGGGATTTGTATGATTCTTATAATGCTCTGGAGCTTGCATCTTTACCAGTAAAACAATCTATAATTGACTCAAGCAGCAGAGCAAGTATAAAACGATCTGTAATTGATGCAAGCAGTAGAGCCAGTCTACCTTCTAAAGATCAGGACCGAAGAGGGCCAGGAAGTACTATAGAAAAAAGTAAGATTTCAATTTTTTTGAATTAGGTTTGTCACATGACATTTTCAATACATTCTTTTTTTTTTTTTTTTTTTTTTAAGCAGTTATAATTTTCTTTCTGGCGGAACATGAATAGTATTTTTATGTCTATGCTCATGAGGGACATTGGTTTATATCTTCTTTTGTACTTTGTTTTTTTGAATACTAATGTCATAAATTGCATTAGAAATGTTTCTTTTCCCTCCTATTTTCTGGAAGAGGTTGTGGAGAATTAGTGTTAATTCTTTAAATGTCTGGTGGAATTCTCCAGTAAAACCGTCTGGGCCTGGAGTTTTTTTTTGTTTTTGTTTTTTGGCAGGGGTGGGGGGTGGGGGGGTGAGATTTACAATTACAAATTCAATTTCATTAAATTTGCCAACCTCTTCAGCTTTATGTTCAGAATATATGTGGCAATAAGAAAACCCAGGGAATTCACAACGGTGTCATTCCTTGGGTTCTGAGTACTCTTATCTAATTGTTCTACCTTCCTCTTCCAAAGTCTTTTAAAGCCTTTTCATAATTATATATATATATCCCCCCCCCACCTAGGATTTTTAATTGTAGTTATCAGGAAGAACAGGCAAAAACATCTAAGCCATCTTTATGAAAGCAGGTTTTCCTTTATTTATTATTTATTTTTATTATTTTTTGAAGTTTTATTATTTTTTTATTTTTTATTGTTTAAGTATTCCATATAGTAGTACATATTACTCCTCCCCCCCCCATTGACTTTTCCCCAGCCTCCTCTACCCCCTGAAGCATGCCCTCATCCTCCCAACCCCCAGTGTCTTGTGTCCATTGATTGTGCTTATATGCATGCATACAAGTCCTTCAGTTGATCTCTCCCCCCTACCCCCTGCCTCAACACTCCCCAGCCTTCCTGCTATAATTTGACAGTCTGTTTGATGCTTTACTGCCTCTGTATCTATAATTTGTTCATCAGGTTAAAATGTTCTTTATTATCCATAAATGAGTGAGATCATGTGGTATTTTTCTTTCATTGCCTGGCTTATTTCACTTAACAGAATGCTCTCCCTCCAGATCCATCCATGCTGCTGCAAATAGTAAGAATTCCTTTTTTTTTTTAATAGCAGCATAGTATTCCATTGTGTAATGTACCATAGTTTTCTAATCCACTCATCTGCTGATGGGCATTTAAGACTATTTCCAAATCTTAGCTATGGTGAATTGAACTGCTATGAACATAGGGTTGCATATGTCCTTTCTGATTGGTGTTTCAGTTTCTTGGGATATATTCCTAGGAGTGGGATCACTGGGTCAAATGGGAGTCCCATTTTCAGTTTTTTGAGAAAAGACCATGCTGTTCTCCACAGTGGCTGCACCAGTCTGCATTCACACCAGCAGTGCATAAGGGTTCCTTTTTCTCTGCATCCTCTTCAGCACTTGTCATTTGTTGATAATAGCCATTTTGACAGGTGTGAGATGGTACTGCATTGTCATTTTGATTTGCATATCTCAGATAATTAGTGATTTTGAGCATGTTTTCACGTATCTCTTGGCCTTTCTTCTGTCTTCTTTTGAAAAGTTTCTATTTAGGTCCATTGCCCATTTTTAAATTGGGTCATTTATCTTTCTTTTATTAAGTTGTATGAGTTCCCTGTTAATGTTGGAGATTAGACCTTTATCAGTGATAACATTTGCAAATATGTTTTCCAATACAGTGGGCTTTCTTATTGTTTTGTTGATGGTTTCTTTTGCTGTAAAAAAGCTTTTTATTTTGATGTAGTCCCATTTGTTTGTTTTCTCTTTAGTTTCCATTGTCCTAGGAGCAGTATCAGTGAAGAAATTGCTTCGGCATATGTCTGATATTTCTCTGACTGTGGATTCCTCTAGTATTTCTATGGTTTCCTGATATTTACTTAAGTCCTTTATCCATTTTGAGCTTATTTTTTTGTATGGTGTAATTTGGTGACCTAGTTTCATTTTTTTGTATGTATCTGTCCAATTTTCCCAACACCATTTATTCAAGAGACTGTCTTGACTCCATTGTATGTTCCTGCTTTTTTTGTAAAATATTAATTGAGCAGAGTGGTTTGGGTCGAAATCTGGGTTCTCTATTCTATTCCATTAATCTATATATCTGTTCTTGTGAGCAGTGGCTCTGTATTACAGCTTGAAATCTGGTATTGAGAACCCTCCTATTTTGTTCTTTTTTTCTCAGGATTGCTGTGGCTATTGCTGGGACTTTTAAAAAATTCCAGATGAGTTTTTTGAAAGTTCTTTTCAGGTCTGTGAAAAATGATGTTGGTATTTTAATGGGGAGTATATTGAATCTATAGATTGCTTAGGGTAGTATGGACATTTTAATGATATTGATTCTACCAATCCACGAACATGGTATGTTCTTCCATCTGTTTATGTCTTCCTCTATCTCTTTTTTTCAGTGTCATGTAGTTTTCTGCATATAGCTCTTTTACCTCGTTAGTTAAGTTTATTCCTAGGTATCTTAATTTTTTTGGTGTGATGATAAATGGGATTGCTTTTTTAGTCTCTCTTTCTGTAAGTTGACTATTGGTGTATAGAAAGGCCATAGATTTCTTGGCATTAATTTTTTATCCTGCTACATTGCCAAATTCATTTATCAAGTCTGTTAGTTTTTTGATGAAGTCTTTAGGTTTTTTTTTTTTTTAATGTACAATATCATGTCATCTGCATATAGGACAACTTTACTTCTTCTTTTCCAATTTGGATGCCTTTTGTTTCTTCTTATTATCTAATTGCAATGGATAATACTTCCAGTACTATGTGAACAGGAATGGTGAGAATGGGCATCCCTGTTGTGTTCCTATTCTTAGTGGAAATAGTTTAGGTTTTTTCCCATTGTATATGATGTTTGCTGTGGGTTTATCATATATGGCTTTTATTATGTTGAGGTATGATTTTTTTATTCCCACCTTGTTGAGAGTATTTATCAAGAAAGGGTGTTGGATTTTATCAAATACTTTTTCTGCATCAATTGATATGACTGTGATTTTTATGTCTCAATTTGTTTGTGATGTATCACGTTTATTGATTTGCAGATATTGTACCATCCCTAGATTCCCGGGATAAATCCTACTTGGTCATATGTATGATCTTTCTGATGTACTTCTGGAGCCGATTTGCTAGAATTTTGTTAAGGAATTTGGCATCTATGTTCCTGAGGGATATTGGCTTGTAATTCTCTTTCATGTGTTGTCTTTATCTGGTTTTGGTATTAGAGTGATGCTGGCTTCATAGAAGGAGCTTGGAAGTGTTCCTTTCTCTTGAAATCTTTTAGAATAGTCTGAGGAGGATAGGTTTTAGTTCTTCCTGGAATGTTTGGTAAAACTCCTCTGTGAAGCCATCTGGCCCCAGGCTTTTGTTTGATTGATGCTTTTTGATGACTGCTTCAATTTCTTCCATAGTTATTGACCTATTGAGATGTTTAGATTCTTCCAGATTGAGTTTTGGAAGGTTGTATTTTTCTAGGAATATATCCATTTCCTCCAGGTTGTTCAGTTTGTTGGAATAGAGATGTTCATCGTATTTTTTAACAATCCTTTGTAATAATCTTTCTTATCCACTCAGTTACCCTATGTCTTTTGATTGGGGCATTTAATCCATTTACATTTAAAGTTATTATTGATAAGTACTTGTTTATTGCCATTTTTATTCTTTATTCCTGTGTTCCTTCTTTGCTTCCTTCTTATTTTTACAGCAGACCCTTTAGCATTTCTTGCATTGCTGGTTTGGTGGTAATGAACTCCCTTAGTCCTTTTTTGTCTGTGAAGCTCCTGATTTCACCTTCAATTTTGATTGATAGCCTTGCTGGGCACAGTATTCTTGAATTCAGACCTTTCCTTTGCATGACTTTGTATATTTCATTCCATTCCCTTCTGGCCTGATGTGTTTCTGTTGATAAATCAGCCACTAGTCTGATGGGGAATCCTTTGTAGGTAACTTTCTGTCTCTCTCTGGCTGCTTTTAAGATTTATACTTTGTCATTGGTGTTTGCCAATTTAATTATAATGTGCCTTGGCATCTGTCTTTTGGGGTTCATTTTGTTTGGGACTCTGCGAGCATCTTGGATTTGTGTGGCTTTTTTCTTCCCTATATCAGGGAAGTTCTCTATCATTATTTCTTCAGACAGGTTTTCTATTCCTTGCTCAGTTTCCTCTTTTTTTGGCACCTCTATTATGTGGATGTTGTTTTGTTTCATGTTGTCCTAAAGTTCTCTTAGGCTTTCCTCCTGCCTTTTAATTTTTTTTTCCTAGAAGCTGCTCTACTTGAGTATTTTTTCTTGCCTTGTCTTCTAGCTCACTGATGCAGTCCTCTGCTTCTAGTCTACTGTTGATGCTTTCTATTGAATTCTTTATAGCAGTGATGTCATTTTTCATTTCTTCTTGGTTCTTCTTTATTTCCCCTTGGTTCTTACTCATATTGTTGCATTTGTCTTCTATTCTCTTCATCCACCTTATGACCATTTCTTTGAATTATTTATCTGACAGATTGCTTGCCTCCATTTCGTTTACTTCCTTTTCTAGTGATGCCCACTTTTCTTTCATATACAGGCTGTTTCTTTGTCTTCCTATGATCTCTTTTCTCCAGGTATCTGGTTATATAGTTGTCTCTCTCCAACAAACACTCCCTGTGCAACCACACACTCTCCCTTTGTTCTCTCACTCACACACTATCTTGCAGTTGTCAGCCATCTTTCAAAATGCTTCGGAAGTTTTAATCCCTTTATTTGTTTTTTAAAGTAAGAGTCTGCTAAGGGTGTGGTAGGCAAAATAATACTTCTTCCCAAATGTATATATACCAATACCTGGAATCATTAAATATCTTACCTTACATGGCAGGAAAGACTTTCCAGATATGATGAAATAAAGGTCTTCAAAGGAGATGTTTTTGCATTAAGTGAGTTCCATCTAATCTCATGTATGTAAAGTGGAGGGCCTTTCCCAGCTGTGCTCAGAGAGAGATGCAATGACAGAAGATCAGAGAGATGTAATATTGGTGACTTTGAAAATGGGGGAAGGGTGTGGATGGGTCCAAAGCTGGAAAAGATAAGGAAACCAATTCTCTAGACCCTCTGTAAAGAGACAATATCCTACTGACATCTTGATTTTATCCCAGTGAGACCTGCATTCAAACTGCTAAACTATAGCACTCTAAAAATGTATGTTTTTAATCCACTAAGTTTTTTATAAATTACTCTAGCATCAATAAAAAATTAACACAGTTATAGTATAATATTCTTATAAAGCAACAATCAGATCGGATCTCTATCTGAAGACTTATCTTGTTTTTATTGGAATAAAAATTATAGACATGAATGAATATTACCTCATGAGGTTATCATTGCTTATCTATGGGAAGATAGTACATTTTTAAATTGAGAATTCCAAAATGAGATAATATATGTATATCTTGCATGTGCTTGGTACATAAAGTTATTCAACAAATGTCTCCTGAAGTTGTTGAATCCTGGAAGAAAACAAATAGAAATGACAAAATGTCACTTTTTAATATTTAGAATACATGAATCATCTAATGTTATTTGGACTATTTTATCATTACATTATGTTTGCATTTTACAGATAGTGAAGCTAGTTCTATAATGGAAATAGAAAATGCAATTCTGGCTAAAAAGCATGATGAAGAAGAAGACTACTCACAAGCAATATTCAGATCTGAGAAGTTTCAACAGGACTTATTTTTTATGGAACGAGTTCTAATGGAAAACGTATTTCAACCCAAACTTGCAGCTTATCGTCAGCTTCCTATTCTAAAAGGTATTTTAAAAACAAAATTTAAACAAAGTCAATTAATTTTAAAAATTAAATGATGTTATTACTTCTAAATGTAACATCAATTGGGATATCACTTACCAGAAGATATATTTTATATAGCTTTTAGCACTAAAAATGCAAGTCTCAGAATTCAGACTAGAGGGCCCATAGCAAGTCGTAGATCCTTAGATTTAAAACTCATAAGCATCTGTGGCTTCTTTGGCTCTGCATTAAATATTGTTTCCTATTCAGACTTCCCTTTCATTGTCTTTGATACCTCCCAGGTTCTGGCCTTTATTGCCTCTTACTAATTTTCTTGTGGGGTCATTCTTCCTCTTCTCATTGCTACAAATTCCATCTCACAAGTCCTCAAATATTTGGAATATTTTAGAGGTTATCTAATTCAACCTTTCAATACTTGAATGAACAAAATAAAGGCTATAGAAACTTTATAAGGTTACAAAGTCTATGACAAAGCTAGGCATTCAATCAAGATTTGATTCCATTCCAATTCTTTTCTCTCTACCATCCTAACATGCTGATGTATCATAAACACAGGTTTGAACATGGCATTTAGCTGCTAAAAAACTTCAGAACCTTCCCATTACAAACTTCAAATGTATCATACAAATATACTTGCACTATGGCCACAGACTATTTCATCCCATGGAATGACTTTAGAGACCCTAAAAGTTATCCATGTTATACTTACCTGACAACCCCCAAACAAAACCTGAACATTTCTGCCTTACCTTTAGTTGTACTATGTTTGCCAGTCCACCCTTGTACCCATCATCTTTGCCTATTGTATTATATTCCCACCTTTCACGAATGCATTAGAGCAAGCTGCTTCATGAAATCTTTCTTGATCTTTCAAGTCAAAATCAAACTTCTATATGCCTACATCAAAAAGTCAGGTTACAAAATAGCATGTGTGACAAATGGCTATAAACCTTTTATTTACATAGATCCAAGAATATTAAAAAAACTATGTCCTTTTTCTCATATCAGGCTGATATTTGATGTTTTCATCAGACACATAAACTTTTAATCCTATATTTAAAGAGTTATAAGGTTGAAATTTACTTTATACTGTGCATTTTGACATTTTAAAAACAATTAAATGTTGATAGATCACTTCTTTAAATATATCTAAGAAGTGAAAATACAATAGAAAAATTGTTAATGAGGTAAGATTTATACACAAAGAAATACAGATATTTTAACTATGTAGTTTGATACATTTTGAAAATATATAAGCCTGTGCAACTAATACCCTAATAGAAATAGAGAATATATCCATCAATCCCAAAAGTTCCATTTGACCCAGTGACCCCACTTATAGGAATAGAAATACCAATCAGAAAGGATACATGCACCCCTATGTTCATAGCAGCATAATTTACAATAGCTAAGATTTGGAAACAGTCTAAGTGCTCATTAGCAAATAAGTGAATTAAAAAACTGTGGTACACCGAAACCGGTTTGGCTCAGTGGATAGAGCATCTGTCTGCGGACTGAAAGGTCCCAGGTTCAATTCTGGTCAAGGGCATGTACATTGGTTGCGGGCACATCCCCAGTAGGGGATGTGCAGGAGTCAGCTGGTTGATATTTTTCTCTCATCGATGTTTCTAGCTCTCTATCTCTGTCCCTTCCTCTCTGTAAAAAATCAATGAAAAATATATTTTTAAAAATAAAATAAAAAACCATGGTACATCTACACAATGGATTACTATGCTGCAGGGAAAAAAAAAATTCTTACCATTTGCAATAGCGTGAATGGACCTGGAGAACATTATGCTAAGCAAAATAAACCAGTCAAAGATAAATATAACATGATCTCACTCATTTGTGGAATATAATGAACAACATAAACTGATGAAGAAAAACAGATCTGGAGACAGAGAAGCATCCATTAGACCTTCAACCTCACAGGGAAGGCAGGGAAGGTGGGGTAAGGGAGAGAGATCAACCAATGGACTTGTATGTATGCATATAAGCCTAACCGATGGACACAGACAACAGGGGAGTGAGGGCATGAGTGAGGGGTTGGGGGCTAATAGGGGAATACAGACACATATGTAATACCTTAATTAATAAAGTAATAAAGAAGAAAAAAAGTTTTCTTGTGCAGTTTTCCAGTTACAGTTTACTTCGTCTCCTCCATAGAAAGCTTTCACCTGATTTCTCTATTGATTAGCTGTTTTAGTGTATCAGCTAAGTGGGTTCCTATAGTAAGTATTATTAAGTGTTGGGCTTTTTTAATTCAACATAATGTTTTTGAGATTCATCTAGTTTGATGTGTATATATAATAAGTAGTTAATTTTCCCCCCAAGTACTGTTCCATTTTATGAAAACACTCATAATTTGTATATTCATTCATCTGTTGATAGGTACCTAGACTGTTTCCAGTTTTTAACTATATGGATAAAGCTGCTATGATCATTGTTGTGTCTTTTTCTGGACATGTTTTCATTCCTCTTGGGTAATTACCTAGAGATAAAATTGTTGGATCATTGGGTAGAATTACTAGTATGTTTAATTTTTTTTCACTTTAAAAAATATATATATTTTATTGATTTTGTACAGAGAGGAAGGGAGAGAGATAGAAAGCTAGAAACATCGACGAGAGAGAGTCATCGATCAGCTGCCTCTTGCACACCCCATACTGGGATATGCCCGCAACCAAGGTACATGCCCTTGACAGGAATCGAACCTGGGACCTTTCAGTCTCCAAGCCGACGCTCTATCCATTGAGCCAAATCGGTTTTGGCTAGTATGTTTAATTTTTTAAAAAAACTGAAAAATACCTTTCCATAGTATTTGTACCATCTTACAACCCACAAACAATATGAGTATCAGTTGCTTTATATTCTTGATAATACCTCATGTTGGCAATCTTTTCAATGCCCTAAAAACTAGTCATATTAAGTACTTTCCATCTGCTTTTCTTGGTCATTTGTAAATCTTATTTTGTGTTATGTTTGATCAAGTCCTTTGCCTACTTAAAATATTTTTATTAATATTTTAAAAATATTTTTTACTATCACTTTCATTCTGTGCCTACTTTAATATATATATAATTTATTTCAGAGATGAAGGGAGAGAGAGAAAGATGAAACATCAATGACAAGAGAGAATCATTGATTGGCTGCCTCTTGCATACCCCACACTGGGGCATGCTCTGACCTGGAATCTAACTGTGACTGCCCGGTTCATAGGTCAACCCTTAACCACTGAGCCACCCTGGCTGAGCATATTTTGTGGCCACTTTAATATTGAGTTTTTTGTTTTTTGTTTTTTGTTTTAAATCAAATTGTCAGAACTTATTTTTACGTTTTGGGTACAAGGTATTCTGCCCCCTTTTAAGAGAGAGAGGAAGGGAGAGGAGAGAGACACACACACACATACACACATTGATGTGAGAGTGAAACATTGATCTATTGTCTCCTGCACGCATCAAACGCACAATCTGGGTACGTGCCCTGATTGAGAATTGAACCTGCCCCTTATTGGTGAACAGGACAATACTACAACCAACTGAGCCACACTGGCTAGGGCTGGATACAAACTCTTTGAAAGATACATGCATTGCAACTACCTTCTCTAAGTCTTTGGCTTGCCAATATATTTGTCTTTTGATGATTTCTTTTTCTCGATGAGATCTTCTCTTTCAGCTTTCTCTTTTGTAGTTAATGTTTTTCATGTCCTCTCTAAGAAATCTTTGCCTGCACTAAGTCTGCAAATATCTTTAACTTCTTCCTGGACTTAGAGGGCAAGATTCAATATTTCATTGTTAAATTTGATATTAGATACAGTTTTTTTTTGTAGATGCACTTTATTGATTTGAGAAAATTTCCTTCTCTTTCTAATTTGCTAGACATTTTTAAAGATAAGTGGGTGTTGCATTTTGTTCAAAATTTTTTTCATTAAAATGGTCATATAAATTTTCTACTTTAATTTGTCAATGTAGCCAATTACATTGCTTGATTTCAAATGCTGGAACAAAGTGAATACTTATGGTTAAGCCTCACTTGGTTATATTGTATTATCCTTTTTATATGTTGGTATATTCAATTTTTTAATATTCTGTTAAGAATTTTGCACTGAGTTTATGCAGCATATTTCTTCTGTGATGTTTTCCTCCTGTAAATCCCTTAATGGGTTTTTGTATCAGTGCTATGATAGACACATAAAATGAGTTTTGAAAATTTTCTTTCATTCTCTATATTCCAGAAATATGTGTATTATTCTTCTCTAATTGCTTGATAAAATTTACTAGTGAACCATCTGGAACTGAGTTTTCTTGATAAGAAACTCTCAAATTACAAGTTTAATTTTTATGACTTTGAGTGTGGTAATGACATTTTTTTCTTATTTAACACTAAGAAATAGTGAGCACCAATATCAACATAAAAAACTGCACACAGACGTTTATGACTGTTTTATTGATATACTTTATCCAGCCCCTCTTGCAACCATAAAAGAGGCACAATGCCTAATGGAACTCTTTGCATTTTGGAGGCAATGTATTCCTCATTTGGATGTGCTCTTCTGGCTTGTTGAGTGACCTGAAAATCTGCTAGTTTTGAGGGGAAGCCAGAAGAATAGGAGATTCTGCAACAGGTCCAGCCAGAACTGTTCAAGGTACCCTGTCACTTGGGCCAGATGATCCAGCAGATCCAATGGTGCTTGTAGTGTTGGTGGTAGAGATGCTGTTTGGAGCTTTAGGCAGGGTCCTATAGATTAGAAGAGAATAATATTATTTTTAAAATATATTTTTTATTGATTTCAGAGAGGGGGGGGAGAGAGAGAGAGAGAGAGAGAGAGAGAGAGAGAGAGAGAGAGAGAGAGAGAAATGATGTGAGGTTGTCTCCTGCATGCCCACACTGGAACTGAGCCAAAAACCCAGGTATATGCCTTGACCAACAATAGAATCCATGACCTCCTGTTTCATAGGTAGATGCTCAACTACTGAGTCATGCTGGCCAGGTGATAATTTTTTTATTTGATTTAATTTTAGAAACACAACCTGAAGGGGCTAAAGTCCTTTCAGAAGATAAAAAACTTGAACAGGTAGAGGAAGAGATTAAGAAGGAAGAGGAAGAAGACATAGAAATCAGTGAAGAACAATCAACAATACCAGCCAATTTGGAACGACTTTGGTCCTTTTCCTGTGACTTAACCAAAGGCCTTAATGTGAGCAGCCTTGCCTGGAATAAAAGTAATCCAGTAAGTTATCTCATTGTTGTTATAATCTGCAGTCATATCTCTGATGATTATTGATGTTAAGCATCTTTTCATATGTCTATTGATCATCTGTATGTCCTCTTTGGAAAAGTGTACATTCAACTCCTTCGCCCATTTTTAAATTGGCTTGTCTATATTTTTGGTGTTGAGTTTTACAAGGTCTTTACAAATTTTGGATATTAATCCTTCATCAGATGTACCATGGTGAATATGTTCTCCAATTCAGTGGTTTGTCTTTTCATTTTGCTAGAGTGAAACAAAAATTGGCTGCCTCTTCTGCGCCCCACACTGGGCATCGAGCCTGCAACTTGGCATGTGCCCTGACCGAGAATCAACTGGAAACCCTGTGGTGCATGGGATGTACGCAATCAACTGAGCCACACTGGCCAGCACAATCATTCACTTTTGTCTATTTATACTTATGTAAGCATGTCTTGAAATGACCTGCTTTACTCATTAACTCAGGCTGCCATCATAAAAATCCGTAGGCTGGGTGGCTTAAACAATAGAAATTTGTTTTCTCATAGTTCTGGATGTTAGGAAGTCCAGAGTCAAGGTGCCAGCTGATTTGTTCCTGGGGAACCCTCTCTTCCTGGCTTGCAGATGTCTGTGTCCTCATATAGCAGAGAGGGCTCTGCTGTGTCTTTCTCTTTATATAAGGCCATCCACTTTATCAGATTAGGACTCCACCCTTATGACCTCATGTTGCCTTCATTACCTCCTAAAAACCCTATTCTTAAATATAATCACAAAGGGGATTATGAGTTTTACATGTGAATTTTGAGGGAGGAGACACAATCGTTATATGATATTTGTCTTTACCTTAAATGTCTTTATTTTACAAAATGATTTGGTCATTCTAAAAAACCCAAGGGATATTATAATGTAATAATGCAATTTTGGAAGATAATCTCAATACTAGAGGCCTGATGCATGAAAATTTGTGTAAGAGTAGGCCTCCCTTCCCCAGGCTGCAGGCACCAGCTTCCTTCCGGCACCTGGGGCCCAGGCTTCCCTCCTCTGGCCACCAGCAGGCCCTCCAACCCCAGCTTCATCAGGAAGGAGGTCCTGAATAACATCCTGAAGATATCTGATCTAATTAGCATATTAGCCTTTTATAAGTATAGATCAGTGGTTGGCAAACTCATTAGTAAACAGAGCCAAATATCAACAGTACAATGATTGAAATTTCTTTTGAGAGCCAAATTTTTTAAACTTAAACTTTTTCTTACGCCACTTCAAAATAGACTCACCCAGGATGTGGTATTTTGTGGAGGAGCCACACTCAAGGGGCCAAAGAGCCGCATGTGGCTCATGAGTTGCAGTTTGCCAACCACTGATACAGATGTAAAGGAACTTGTTAGCAATTCATTCTTTGGGGGTACTTATTCTTTAATCTGAAAATTTGATTATCATTATAATTTTGCTTAGAAAGATGAAGATTTAAAGTAAAATAGAGGGTATACTAGTATTTAGAAAAAAATCTTAATTAAAATGTTTTATCACTATTTTAAATACAGTTCATTAATATGCATAGTTTGCAAATATTTGTGTGTCACCCTCTCATATATTATGCATAATTTGCAAATATTTGCATGTCACCCTCTCTTATATTAAATACAGTTTTCTGTTTTTCAGGACCTTTTGGCGGTTGGCTATGGGCATTTTGGATTTAAAGAGCAAAAAAAAGGATTGGCTTGCTGCTGGTCAATAAAGAATCCCATGGTAACTCAAACAGAATGAAGACCCATTTTTATTTAATTAAATGTTGACATGATTATAAAGCAGATAATTTTTCAAGCAAGACTTTTTTTTTATTCAAGTACATAATAATTAAAATGTGTTCTTTTTTATATAGGATAAATTAAGTTCATTTACAAATTCATTCAATAAATATTTATTGAGCATTTACTATGTACTACTACATCTGTTGATCCAAAATCAAACCATTATTATTTATCACTGCTAATTACAAAGAATGAATTTGCAAAAAAAACACAAACCCAATAAACTTTAAAAATTATATTTCATTTAATACTGGGTTGTTTCTTAATATATGAATAACTCCTTATCACCCTATAAGATAGATTTCTGTTATCCTCAACTGATATAAAATAGGTTAATATGATCATCTTATTGCCATAAACTTTTCAAAGAGAACAAATAAGAATCAATCGTTTGTGTGTGTGTGCTAAATTGCCCCAATTTGTTACTTTATAGCTTTACATTTAGTTTTAATTCACAACTGAAATGTAAAGTAAAAAACCTAGAAAAGGATCAGGAGAGCATATAAAAATAGAGTTTTTATAAATATTCCCACTTTTGTTAGGAAGATGGGTTTATATAGGATAAAAAGAAAAGCAATTTTAAACAGGTAGGAGGATTAGTATAATATTCATCATCAGTAGGTTGTCTTCCATGTAGGGTGTTATATACAAGAAAGAATTTAGATTAGACATTGAAACAAACAAATAAAATGCTTGACAGAATTGTAGGAAAGTACCTTAGAGAGTTTTGGAGCTTCTTTTATCTTTGTTTTAAAACATACAGGAATATATATGTTAGATAGTAATTTGTTTGGAGCCCATTATTTGTTTCTTTAAGAATGTATACCTGTATTGATCAAACAAATACTACTGAAAGTTGCCAATATATGATAATTATTGTAGAAACCCATCTTGTATTTATTAAAATTATTGCGCTCTGAGAATTCATCAAAGGAAGGGAAACGAGGTTTTTGTTCTTATCTATTCTGAAACATAGGAAGAGAAAAGGAACTTAATGTAGACTAACTCCATTGGCACTAAATTACACTTCAGTCATCATCAGACCCTACCTACTGTGGTATACAAAACCAAGTTTAATATGTAATATAGTAAATTTTTTTCCAGTGGCCAGAACGCATTTACCAGAGTCCATATGGAGTTACTGCTGTGGATTTTTCAATTGGAGCACCTAACCTTTTAGCAGTTGGCTATCACAATGGCACCATTGCGGTTTATAATGTACAGAGCAACGTTAATGTTCCAGTTCTGAATAGCAGGTGAGAATCCAAGAATTAGATAAATGTAAAATACATGCTTATTTAGAGAGAACTAAAAATTTAATGTTATTTGGTTTTGAGTGAATGTTTACATTGTTACTGAGAATGGTACCATTATTTTTCAAACATTTAATAATTTCTCCTATTTTCTCTCCAACTGGAATGCTTTCCCCTAACATCTTTATCTTCTCTGCCCACCACACCGACAAATTTTCTTTGGCTTGACAATTTTATGCTTATTCTTTTTTAAAGAAAAATGTTTTCTCAATTTTATTGAGATATAACTAAAATATTGTACAGATTGTACATTATTGTACAATCTGATTTTTTAAAGGTGTACAATGCAAGGGTTGAATGTTTGTATACATTGTGAAGTGACCACAATCAAATTAATTAACACATCTTCTCAGTAGTTACTAAGTAGCGAGAAAATGTAAGGTCTACTCTATTAGCAAACTTCAAGTATACAATACTGTACCATTAATTATAATCACCATGCTGTACATTAGATTTCCAGAAATGACTTATCTTATAACTGAAAGTTTATACCCTTGATTGCTATGGTATGGCCTCCTCAAGGAAACATTCCCATTTCTTTCTTTTGTGCATGCTATACACAAATTTATCACAGATATATCATGCTGTATATAAATTGTTTATGCATATATCATTCTACTGAGGAGGCTGTAAGCCTTTTGAGGGCAAGAATTAAGTCTTGTTTATCTTTGCATGCTCAATACATCCATCCCATGATATTAGATAAGTAACAGGATTATAGTAAAAGTTTAAGAATGAATGAATGTAAACATAAAATGCAATATACAGATGATGTATTATAGAATTGTACACTTAAAACCAATTTAATTTTATTCACCAATGCCAGCCCAATAAGTTTAATGAAAAAGAAACATATAGAACTCTTAAAAGAAAAAAAAAGAATAAATGAATAAATGAGTCAGATTGAGAAAATAAAAACGTTAAAGGGGGAAGATACTGAATATGTTAGGTTTTTGTATGGTAATAGGCCAGATATCAATGGGAGGGAAATGAGGTAGGATATTTATGTTAGTTTTGAGTAAACTTTGCTGGAACTGAATGGAAATAGGTATTAAAGCAGAAGTTCTTAAGCTTAACTTTGAAATTATTTACATAGTTTTGTAAGTTGAGGCCTTTCTGCTTATTTCCAGGAAAAGGGTCCCTAAATTTTACCATAAAATCAAAGAAATCTATGATTTTAAAAAGATTCAGAATTATTATTTTGGAGAGTTTGCATTAAAAAAAAAATCAAAGGATTCAATCCTAGGAATAGAGCAATTTACTAATCTGATAGAAAAACAGTTAGTAATCTGACAAGTGATTTAAAAATTCACTGAGAAGTGAATAAAACTTAAACAACTTATTCATTTAAACTATGAAAAATCCTTATACTTATATTCAATATGTATAAAATAAGCTAAATATAAACAATTTAACTAGAAAAAAATAAAAGGAATAAAGTAAGTGAAATAAATTTTTAAAAGAAAGGAAATAATTTGCTTTTGTATTTGTTATGAGAGCCAATAGAATTAATGGCATTAACAATTTTCTTTTTTTTAAGAAATGAGAAAAGTGGCAGTGAATATTAGATGGCAAAGTTATTATTTTTCCTGTTTTTCAAAATATTTAAAATAAAAATCTAGTCCTATTTAATAAAGAGTGAATATGCTAATTGACTGTCACGTCCTTACAAAGATGGTGTTGCCCACAGCCAATAAGGAGGGAATATGCTAATTGATTGCCATGCCCTCAAATATGGCAGCACCCACAGCCACAAGATGGCTGCACCCAGTTCCCCCCAGACCCCCTGGGTGGCAGGCACACTGCACGGCCAAGCCCACCCCCAGGTGGGTTCAGCCACTTTGTGTGCCAGCCTCCAGAATCCCCCAGTTTCCTCAGTTCCCCAAGCTCCCAGGTCAGGTCCAAAGTGCAGACAAGCTTCAGATGGCGGCTGCCCATCCACCCAGGGCCACTCAAGGCTCTGTTGACCAGGGCTGACTGAAGCTTGTGCTGTTGGTAGTGGCAGCAGCAGAGGTGTGATGGGGGAGTCGCTTTCCTCTGATTGCCAAGTTGCCTCTGGCTCCTGAAGGAGCAGGTCATGCTGAGGGTATCCCCCTCCAGTACATGAATTTTCATGCACTGGGCCTCTAGTTTTCCAGAATAAAAGCACTCTATAAGTAGGTTATTGTGCTTTATGGTGGTGTCCTTGTCACTTGTGCTCTAAGCCTTTTTTTAAAAAAAAATTTTTAGTTGGTACTTTTCTCTTTTTCAGTGAATCACCTCAAAAACATTTGGAACCTATATGGCAACTACAGTGGATAGAACAAGATCGAGGAACAACAGGTGATGACAAGAGAGAAATACTAGTTTCTATATCAGCAGACGGAAGAATCGCCAAATGGATTATACGCAAAGGACTGGACTGTCATGGTAAAAAAAAAAATATACTACTAATAAGTAGATATCAAATTAACTTTCTCTTGTTATAGGCTGAATTAAAAACTCCTAGTAAACCATGTGTAAGAGGTGACAAATTTTGGTTTTGCTCAATAAGAAAATAAAACTGGGCTTGGTCATCTTTTTCTAAGCATCTAGTTTGGGTATTTGCTAATTTTAACTAAATCAGATGCAGAAGATGGCAGAAATCATTATTTACTGAAGGGACACATTATATCTGCAATACTTTTTCATGTGATAAATAAGATATATATTTTTCTTTCTTTTTTTACCACTCTGAGATAATTTTAATAAACTGGTTTGGGGACAGTTTAGAATTTCAGTTGAAACTAGTAGCACTCTCAAACAACAATATTATGTTTGCAAGCTTAGTTTTCAAAGACAGGAAACATTTTACCCTATTCTCTCCCATTCTTTTTTGCATTTATTTATCTTTTCCCTGCTTCATTCTAAAAATTAGTTCAGATGCCCTGACAGTTATTTATATAATTGCTTGGGATAATGGCAACAGTGTAGCAGAAACGGCATATATGTATTAAATCACATGGCAATTGATTTTCTTCCCCTGGTATGTACTTGCTCCACTCACCATCCTAGCTTCCTCTAACTACTAAGAACCCCAAATTGGTTCCAGGGAAAGCACTTAAAACCTTATATTTTCAGAGCCTTAAAAAAAAAAAAAAAAGATCACATGGTGAAATCACACTAATATCTCCCCATGAAGGAAATAAAAGTCTGTGAATCTCATAATTTGAAACCTGTGGGCGACCTAAGAAATATAATATATTTTTTCTTTAAATAAAGATTTGATGCGTTTGAAGCGAACTACTGGCAGCAGCAACAGAAAAGGAGGAGAAAAGGAAAAGAAAGGTGAAGCTTTGATATCTCGTCAAGCTCCTGGGATGTGTTTTGCTTTTCATCCCAAGGTAAATTATTTCAATCCGTGATTTACTATTGCATAGAACAACTTTCAATAATGGACGTATTTTAAGATATAAAGCAAGACAAAAAGTTAGCATGTTAACTAATAGTGTGCCTTGTAAGTAAGAAAATAACAAACATAGCTGTCAACCAAAGATAGTATGGCACATTCTAGTTGACTATACTCTGTCTTTATCTACTTTCCAGAGAAAAGGTCTGTGTTTCTGAGGAACTATGGCAAGATCCTCTTTACCACTGCATGTATAACAAGTGCCCCTGCTTGGCCTTCTTGTCTGATCTGGTGCTCTATTATTCTGATAGAAACCAAATGTACCTTATAGTCCTCTAGATCCTCCATGTAAGGGGTTGCTCTTATGATTGTAGGCATCAGGAAGACTACTTAACACACTGCACACCAGAAGTTTTGTTGCTAGCTTTACCCAGTGGCCAGATAAGTTTCTATTGAATGAGTACAAAAACATTTTACAAAGTATCATACTTTAAAAAAATATTAGCTTGTAAGAACATGTGATAAATAACTTCAAAATGCAATGGGTATTTAATTTTGAGGCATGCCTTTAACATGTATGTAAGCTGAAAGTTTATTGTAGATGGAATTAGGTCCCTACTGCATCCATCGTACACAAAAAAAACTTTTAGAAGAAAATGTAGGAGAATATATCTATGACCTCAAAGTAGGAAAAATCTTCTTAAACAAGGCACAGAAAAGTACCACATATATATATCTACACTAATAAAAGAGAAACATGCAAATTAACTATCATTCCACTATACTCACCAGCCAATCAGGAGCAAGTATGCAAATTAACCCAACAAAGCTGGCAGTGGCCACAGAGCTGGAGCAAGCAGGCAGTTTGGTTTGCCCTCAGTGATAGAGGAAGCCAAGCTTCCCACCTGCCCTGGTCAGCCCTGGCCTCCTCTCCAGGTTGCAGTTTCAATTATAGAAGATAAATAAATCCCAGATACCTGCTTCCAGCTGGCCCTGGCCTCCACTCAAGGAGGCGCTGAAAAGAAAAGAAAGGCCCTAACCCAGGCTGGCCATTCCCCCATGGGGGGAGGGTCCCCACTAGGAGGATTGTCCAGCTTGAAAACAGCCTCAGTCCCTCGCCCAAGCTGGCCACACCTCCATGAGATGAGGGTCCCCACTGGGGGGCTTGGCCAGCCTGCAAACAGCCATCAGACCCTCACCTAGGCTGGCCAAGTACATCAGTGCGGACTTCTACCTAGAAGGGGATGTGGCCAGCCTGAAAATGGCCCTCAGCCCCTCACCCAGGCTGCCCACACCCCCTGAGCAGGGACTCTGACCCCTAGGGACATGGCCAGCATGAAAAACAACACAGGCCCCTCACCCAGGCTGCCCCACACCCTAAGGGAATCCCCACTCTGATCTGGAACACCCTTCAGGACAAACCAGCTGGCCCTCATCCATGCACCTTGCCTCTATCTATATTCTATACTAATAAAATGGTAATATGCTAATTAGACTGGGAGACCTTCCAGGAGATCTTCTGGATGTTCTTTTGGACAAAGTCATGGTGGCGAGGCCAAGGTAGAGGTGGTCAAAAGAGGAGGGCAATTGTGGGTGATCAGGCTGGCAGGGGGGAAAGTTGAGAATGAGCAGACCAGCAGGTGGTGGGGGGGGCAGTTGGGGTGAACAGGCCATCAGGGGAGGCAGTTGGGAGCAAGCACACTGGCATGGGGGGGGGCAGTTGGGGGTGATTAGGCTGGCAAGGGGCATTTGGGCGTGAGCAGGCAGGTGGCAGGGACAGTTGGGGGTAAGCAGGCCAGCCTGCAGAATGGTTAGGGGCAATCAGGCAGCAGGCAGGCAGGTGAGCCATTAGGAACCAGCAGTCCTGGATTGCAAGAAGGATGTTCAACTGCTGGTTTAGGCCCATTCCCTGTAAATCAGCAGTAGGACATCCTTCGAGGGGTCCCAGATTGGAGAGGGTGCAGGCTGGGCTGAGGGACACCCACCCCCATGCATGAATTTCTGGCACCGGGCCTCTAGTATACTAATAATAGCCTAGGACAGTGGTCGGCAAACTCATTAGTCAACAGAGCCAACTATCAACAGTACAACGATTGAAATTTTCTTTGAGAGCCAAATTTTTAGACTTAAACTTTTCCTAACACCACTTCTTCAAAATAGACTCGTCCAGGCCGTGGTATTTTGTGGAAGAGCCACAAAATACACTCAAGGGGCCAAAGAGCCGCATGTGGCTCAGGAGCCGCAGTTTGCAGACCACAGGCCTAGGTGGCCCTCACGCCCTCATGCCGTGTTGCCTTCACGCATCACAAGGAGGCTGCATGCACAGCTGGTGTGCACAGGTGGGCGGGGTCTTGACACTGCACGTGTGGGGCAGAGGTGGGGCCCAGCAGCTGCTCCAGGTGGTGAGGCCTGGGGATCTTGTGGCTCCAAGTGCCAAGAAGGCAGTGCCTGGCAGCTGATCCACACAACAAGGCCTGGGGTCCCGGGGCTGTGCATACCATGGAGGCAGAAACCCCTGGCTCTGGCCTACTTCTTCGGGGGAATCTGCCAAGGAGCCCTGCAGTCCTGGGTCTTGTGTGATTTCACGTGCTGGGTAATATAAATATAAATATAAATATAAATATAAGTATAAGTATAAATATAAATATAAATATAAATATAAATATAAATATAAATATATTAATACCAGCAACATTAAAATGAGAGCTGCTATGTACCAAAAGACACCAATATAAATAAATAAATAAATAAATAAATAAATAAAGCCATACACTGGGAGAAGATATTTGCAATATATTTAATAGATGAATAATATGTAATAGAACACATACATAACTTACACAAATAAGTATGAGAAAGAGAGATAGTAAAATAGTCCGGAGATGTGAACAGAAGAGGAAATAAGTGTGCTCAACATTGTTAATATTCATGTACATGGCAATTTAATCATTAGGTATAATTGTACACCTAATAGATGATAAAACTTAGCATGTCTGATATAACCAACTATTGAAGAGAATGTGGGTCAAAGGGAACTTTTATTTACTGCTGAATGTAAACTAGCAATGCTACTTGGTGGGGGGTGCGGATTTTACTTTTTGTGTAATTTAAAATTGCATATACCCCATGATCTAGAATTTTCATTCTTAAGTACTGCTGCTACACACTAGAACAGCGTGTCTAAAATTTTAATGTACATACAAATTATTTGGAAATCTTGTGAAAATGCAGATTCTGATTCAGTAGATCTGGGGTAAGGCGAGATTCTGCAGTTCTAAAATGTTCTCAGGTGATTCTGACCCCACATAGTTAGGACATAAAACACTTACTTTCAGACTTTCTAACAATGACATTTTTCACTATAGGAAATACATTTAAAATCCTTATTTAAGACATACATTTTGTTATAGATTTCTGAGACACCATCTAGTTCAATTTCTTATTCCCAGCAAGAATCATTTCCTTAGGTTTATATAGACAAATAGCTATTATTAAGTTATCTTCTTGACTAGTTGCATTGAAAGAATACTTACTAGTTCCCTGGATTGCTAGTTCCAGTGAGAGAGAGCTCTAAGTATTGAAAAATACTTCCTCATTTTAAAGCAATTTTTGTCCATGTAATTTCTAGATAGGATGCTAAGTTATATCCTCTATTCCAGCAAAAAAACAAATCTATATTTTCTTTGTACAGTAGGTCTTCAGGTAGTTTAATTATTATAAAATGATAGAAAGAAAAAGACAACAGACAACTATCTTAAGGTTAGTATTTCTAGTTTTGGTTCCTAAATTGATTTTAATATATCTTGAATGGTTTAATATTCTGTTTAACACATTTACTAATGTATCAAAAGCCAATGCATTTTGATTTTTTGTGTTGTAGGACACAAATATCTATTTGGCTGGCACTGAAGAAGGTTATATTCACAAATGTTCTTGTTCATACAATGAACAATACCTAGATACCTACAGAGGACATAAGGTTAGTTTAAGTATAGTAAGTATGGAAAATGTGTCTTGGAATATTTCTGAAACAGTAATATCATTATGCATAGTATTTTAAACATGCAATACATTTATATCTTCAGAGTTAAAAATATCAACTCAAAATAAGTGCTTGCTTGCATGGAAACCATCAATAATGTGTGGAGCATTGTATTTGGTTTCCAGACATCCTCAATTCTTTCTTGCACATAATGGAAGTTGCAATTTTTATTTGTTTCTGACTTTGTGATAACATACTGATCCAAAAGTAAAATTGTCTCTTGCATATCCCTGTTCTGCATATCTTTTATAATTGTTCCATCTATATTTCTTCATTTTTTTTAACATTCCATATATATTTTAAATGTTTGACTTAAAAAAAATATTTTTATTGATTTTTTTTTACAGAGAGGAAGAGAGAGAGAGAGAGGTAGAAACATCAATGAGAGAAACATCGATCAGCTGCCTCCTGCACACCTCCTACTGGGGATTTGCCCGCAAACAAAATACATGCCCTTGACCAGAATTGAAACTGGGACCCTTGAGTCCGCAGGCGGACACTCTGTCCACTGAGCCAAACTAGTTAGGGCAACACTCCTTATGTTTTTAAGTCAAAATGTATAATATGTATTAATATTTAGTGAATATCGTATGAACTATTTTTAAATGTTTTTGTATGGCATAATTTAGAGAAGATTCAATTTATGACATTACTTTCAACTAAAATAATACCCACATAATAATGCATGGTGAATAAATCTAGAAATCTTAGCATTTTAAATTTGTTGATGAAGTTTAAAGTATTAGATATTAAATACTATTTACCTATGTGTTTTAATTTTTTTTTTTTAAATTTAAGGGTCCAGTGTATAAAATAGCATGGAATCCGTTCTGTCATGATGTGTTCTTAAGCTGTTCTGCAGATTGGGGCGTTATTATATGGCAACAGGAAAATACTAAGCCTTTTTTGAGTTTTTATCCAACTACTTGTGTTGTTTATGATGTTTCTTGGTCCCCGAAATCATCCTATATATTTGCAGCTGCAAATGAGAACAGAGTGGAGATTTGGGACCTTCACATCAGCACGTAAGTGTTAATATCTTTCTTGGGGATGTTTCTAGTAGAAGCAGGTCAAACTAAATGATACATGGAAGTTTTGACATTGGTTACAGAGACCTGTACAGGGTGGGGCAAAAGTAGATTTACAGTTGTTCATATGGAAAATAACACAATAATTAATAAAAAATAATAGAAGAATAAACTCTTTGTACTCAAAACTGTAAACCTACTTTCCCCCCACCCTGAATTTACTTTGAAACAAGGCCTGTAATAGTTTATCCTATGAGAGTTCTTTAAGAATAAAGATGCTATATTACTATTAATTGCTTACGTTGTTATAATTATATTTGAATGAAAATAGGTTATATTGCCCTGGCCAGTGTGGCTCAGTTGGACATAGCTCCATACACTAAAAGGGTGCCTGTTCCATTCCCGGTCAGGGCACATGCCTGACTTGTGGGATCTATCCTTCATGTGTGGGACGTGCTGGAGGCAACCAATTACTGTGTCAATGCCACATCGATGTTTCTCACCCCTCACCCTTTCTCACTCTCTAAAAATCAATTTAAAAAAATCAGTAAAAAAGGTAATATTATTCATCTCCTCAAATGATTAAATACTAATATATAATATCATAACTACCTTTAATTTAGTTAACCATTTTAAATCGACTGGTTTACAGGAGAATGTAGAGAAGTGGCTAATTTTTTTAACTAAAGATTTTCTTTTAAAAAAATTTTTATATAATAAATCTTTATTGTTCAGGTTATTACAGGTGTTCCTCTTTATTCCCCCATAGCTCCCCTCCACCTGATTCCCCACCCCACCCCACCCCATGCCCTTACCCCCTGCCACTGTCTACATCCATAGGTGTAAGATTTTTGTCCAATCTCCTTCCACACCCCTCAGACTCCCTTCTCCCTGAGAATTGTCAGTCCACTACCTTTCTATGGCTTTGATTCTATTATATTCACCAGTCCATTCTGTTCTTCAGATTTTTTATTCACTTGATTTTTAGATTCACTTGTTGGTAGGTATGTATTTGATGTCTTTTTGTTATTCATAGTTTCTACCTTTACCTTTTTTTTCTTCTTCCTCTTCTTAAAGAATACCCTTCAGCATTTCATGTAATCCTGGTTTGGTGGTAATGAACTTCTTTAGCTTTTTCTTGTCTGTGAAGCTCTTTATCTGATCTTCAATTCTGAATAATAGCTTTGCTGGATAGAGTAATATTGGTTGTAGGTTCTTGCTATTCATCACTTTGAATATTTCTTGCCATTCCCTTCTGGCCTGCATAGTTTCTGTTGAGGAATCAGCTGACAGTCGTATGGATACACCCTGGTAGGTAACTAACTGTTTTTCTCTTGCTGCTTTCAAGATTTTCTCTTTGTCTTTTGCCCTTGGCATTTTAATTATGATGTGTCTTGATGTGGTCCTCTTTGGATTCCTCTTGTTTGGGGTTCTGCGTGCTTCCTGGACTTATAAGTCAATTTCTTTCATAGGTAGGGAAAGTTTTCTGTCATTATTTCTTTCAATAGGCCTTCAATATCCTGCTCTCTCTCTTCTACCAGCACCGCAAAAATCCGGATGTTGGTATGCGTAAAGCTATCCCAAAGGCTCCTTACATTATCCTCAGACTTTTGGATTCTTCTTTCTTTCTGCCTCTCTGGTTGTGCGTTACCCCCCCATATTCCAGATCTTTGGTTTGACTCTTGGGGTCCTTTGATCTACAGTTGAGTGTCTGTATATTCTTTATTTCAGACAGTGTATGCTTCATTTCTGACTGGTCCTTTTTCATTTTTTTGGTATTCTCATTAAGGTCCTTGAAGGTCTCTTCAAGTTTCTCAGCAGTTTTTAGAAGATTCTTGAGTAACCTTATAAATGTGATTCTGAACTGTGTCGTCCAATAGTTTACTTTCCTCCATCTCTCCCATTCGTGACATGCTTCTGTGCCTCTGCATTTTGGTTGCCTCCCTGTGTTGATGGACTGGCTTTGTGTAGTAGGTGACCTATAGGGGCCAGTAGCTCAGCTTCCCCTATCACCTGAAGTGGTTGCTCTTGGTACACCATTTGTGAGCTGAGTGCAAAGTCTTGGTGTAGTTAAGCCTTGATTGCTATTGGTACACTGGAAGGAATTGACCTCCAGGCCAATTGGCTGTGAGGACCCACTTTGTCTATAATGGAAAAACTGCTGTGCTGCAACACACTTATGGTGCAGGCCTTGTTTCAGTGGGGCTTTGGTGCTCACTGAGTCTGCCTCCTGAATGTGTCACTTATGGATGTAAGGAGTTGAAATCTGGTGTCTCACACTGACCACTAAATACACTGGCTTCTAGATCTCCAATGGGGTGCAGTTCAGCTACTGTTTGAGGCCACCCTGCAGGAGCTACAGTGAGAACCACAGACCTCTCTTCCCTTCTTGGAGCTTGGAAGCTTTGGAGCTGTCTGTACCAAGTTGCAAGTTTGCTAGGTTAAACTGTAATAAAGAAGGCCATTCATATGCAAAAGCTGCTGTTTGGAGCTTGGGTGTATTTGTAGATTGTGTGGGGTGGAGTCACAGGCTAGGGCATGGCAAACAGCAATGGCTGCCAGTCAGCCATCTCTGCCTCTCTGACTGCGTCCCTGTGTCTCACGCCCCAGCACAGCAAACAATTATTCTTGTGCACAGCTCTGTCAACAAGCCACCTTCACTTTCCAACCTGATGGCAGACAGTCTAGCTTCTCCCCAGAAACTGGATTTCAGAGAGTGGAAGATTGTCTCTCTTTGAGTTGAAGAAAGCAATGCCCTCCACCAGCTAGAATCTGCCTCCAGTTCTTATTGCCCCTTTACCTCAGTTTTTCAGCGCTTGTGCCATGAATGCTCCTTTCTCTTTCAGTCTAGTTGTAGAGCTTCCTTTCAGCCAGCTTTCCCGTGGTTCTGGGTGATAGACATTTTGTCTTTTAGTTGTAATTTTGAAATTGTTGTGCATGGCAGTGGTTCAGATGTGTAAGCCGCCATCTTGGCTTACATACCTAAACATATTCAAAGGGGGATTTGTTTAATTAAACTTTTTTTTATTTAAGGTGTTACACCAAAGTTATTAGACTGTCATCTACAACCTCTTAGCTTTTTAAAATGTTGCCATAAAATGTTTAATGATTCTACTTCAATTAGAAAATATTGGAGATCTTTATGCTGTTTTAGCAGAAGGAGCCGAGAAAAACATTCTTGTTTAAAGTAAATGATAACCCTGGCCATGTAGCTCAGTTGGTTAGAATATTGTCCCAATATGCCAAAGTTGGGGGTTCAATCTCAGGCCAGGGCACATACAAGAAGCAACCAATGACTGCATAAGTAAGTGGAACAACAAATGTTTTTCTCTCTCCCATCTTCTCTCAAATCAGTAAGTTTTAAAAATTTTTTAGATAAATGATGGAAAATTCAATGGGTTTATTCTTAAAGGCAAAATTCCCCCCCCCCCTCCCCAGAAGTTAATAATTTAATAACTTTAAAATTTTGTCATGGCTTGTTCTATAAAAGAGCTTGAACCAAAAATCAAGGATTATATCACAAATCAATTTATTCTTGAATATGAGATGACTACTGTCTGATTTTAATTTTTCTAATAAAAGTGAAGCTCTTAAGACTGTATTTCTTCAGAAGAAATATTCAAGTTGCTGCTTCGTTTGCTTTTTAAGGGAATCAGTAGATGCTTTGGATGACAAATAGGAAAAATTCTTGTTCAAAATATTCTTTTATGTTTCAGAGGTTCATTTGGATGTAAACATCCTTTTATTAAAATAAATTTATTATTTTAGGATTTGAATTAGTCAGGGAAACACAACAATTAAAAGAGAGGGAGAAAATAAGGAAGGAAAGGGAGATGAAGGAGGGTAGGATCGGGAGAGAGAGGGTGGGGTGGAGGAGAGAGAGAGAGAGAGAGAGAGAGAGAGAGAGAGAGAGAGAGAGAGAGAGAGAGAGAGAGAGAGAGAGAGAGCGAGATTTAAAGGAATGGGCTCATAGCTTTGTGGTGCCTGGAAAGTCCCAAATCTGTATGACAGGCTGGTAAGCTGGCATTTTCGTCAGGAGTCCATGTTGCGGAAGTCCGCTTTGGGGAATTCAGTCTTTTCTCTTAAGGCCTTCAACAAATTGAATGAGTCTGACCCATGTTCTGTAGAATAATCTGCTATATTCAGATTTTACTGATTTAAGTGTTAAGAAAAAATTCCTTTACAGTAACATGTAGACTAGTGTTTGACCAAATAACATAACCTAGCCAAGTTAATACATAAATTTAACCATGATAGTTTAAACTTAAAAGTTCTCGCCTTTAATTGTACATTGCTTTAATTTATCTAGTTGATATTAAAGGTTTTGATTGAATAAGGATTAAGAAGCAGTTACTTTGATTTTGAAAATGCTTAAGCTTTTGATTTTTATTGCATAAAATCACAAAAAATATTTCTGACTTCTCTAAGTCTGAATATACAAAGAACATATTAACAACAACTAAACTTACAAAGAACATGTTTTATTACAGTTTGGATCCTCTAATTGTGAATGTTGCTAACCCCGGAATCAAGTTCACAACTGTTCTCTTCGCTAAACAAACAGATTGCCTTCTAGTGGGAGACAGTGATGGTCAGGTTGCTGTGTATGAACTGAGAAATATGCCCACCGCTTTGACTACTAGCCGGGTAAGACTCAAAAGTCAAAATTTTATGTAATTGTATGATTTCATTTAATTGCAATTTTGTGTCATAAAAAGGATTTACATTTCTTATATCTTAAGTGTGGTGCAATGGAAAAAATATAAGTCACAAGATCTGCTACCTCCTTGGCATGATTCCTATTCGTTCTCTGTCTGTAAAATTAGAATAATGATGTTGAGCATAAGATTTATGAATGTTATATGGAAGAACTTAAAATTATATCTAGTATTTACTTAGGACTTAATAACTGATAAATATAGCTGACAAAATTTACTGAAAATATACAAAAACTTTTACAAGAAATAATGTTTTTAGATATTATCCAATGTTCCTAAAATAGGCATTTTGTTTCTATTAGTTTAGCATTATCCTTAGTCCCTTACTCTTCAAATACCAAAGCTTTGTAGCTTTGTGGTAAAACCTTGACAAGCAAAGTAATATCAAAGATGCCCATTATTTGTAAAGTAGCTTTTCAAGTTGTTTTCTGTTTCTTATGTTTAAATTTCTATTTTAAGGAGTAATCTAGCAAATATTACAGTAAATACTATAAACATGTTAAAAAATTGCAATATTCAGAAATTGATAAGGAAAAACACTAAGACTCCAGTACAGAGTACACAAGATTGGAAATTTCATTTACAAAAAAATGACTAGTAATTTATATTTTAAAATTGAACCTTACTAACAAAGAAATAAAAAATTATTACATTAAATTAACATGCAATAGCATTCTCATATATCAAATTAACAAAGAAACAAAGATTTTTTTTTAATGAGATTGCTCAGTACTGGCAAACATTTGGTAAGATAGGTCCTCGGCTATACTGATGTTTGGAATAGAAATTGGCATAACTTCTTTGGAAGCAAATTAGCAATATGAGCCAAGACTATCCACTTCTGGGACTCTATGTTGTAGAAATATTCATAGAGGCAATCAAAGAAATTAAGTATACCATTGTTTGTAATTGGATTAAAAAAGAAAAAGAAGGGAAGAACTTAAATATCCAACCAGAGAGAAATAGGGTTAGGGAAGGCAGATGTATTGATTAGATTTGGGTCACATGTTGGAGGTAGAGTTCTACCCCAATCATAGGTAGTTTTGGAGATTATTTTCTCAACTGGCTGAGATGCATATTGACTGTAGCCATTTAAGGGGATTTTCCTAACTGCCAGGCCGAGCCCTGTTGCACTGTTCATTTGTCATTGTCCTCCATTGGGGGAGGTCTCAGAGCCTTTGTCTCCGAAAGTCTAGTTACAGTTTACTTACATTCTCCATCCTTTTATGGAGCTCTGCAACATGTTGCTACATCGCTTGATTGATTTCTATCAAGTGATAGGAATAACCTAAATGATCACCAGTGGAGAACAAGACAAGTAAAATATAGCGTATTCACCTGAGTGACTACAATACCAAAGTTTAAATGATGTATATTTCAATGTGTCAATATGACACATTTTGAATACCCGATAAAAGCAAATGTCATCAAAGGAAGTACAAATATGATTTTGTAATATTACTTAAACACAAAAATTAAAACTGTGTTCTTAGCCATACATATAGGTAGTAAATGTATAGACTGGAAGGTGCAAGACAATGTTTCATTTTTGTGTTTGGATTTGAATCAATTAGAGACATCTTTTTTTTTGTGTGAGCAGTATGCCATGCAAGCAGAAAGTAGGCAAAACTCAGAGAATCTGAACATTTTTGGTAATCTAGTGTGTGTGTGAGTGTTGTGAGTGTGTGTGTGTGTGTGTGTGTGTGTGTGTTTTACTGATTTCAATGCTGGTGAGCAAAATTTTCTTTTAATAAATATATTCCATAAATTAGTAAATAATTATAGTTTCCTAATACAAATAAGTCTTTTATGTTTTTGGTCATAATATTCTAAAGGTTAAACATTATATTTATGGGAGATTAAATTATTAATCAGTTTTTACATTACTTATTAACAAACATGAGCTTAACTGAGATAGCTCTTTTGTAGCATTGCAGAGAATTATAATCATAACAGTAATTTGAAGTCTCAAAGTAATTAATGCCAAACCATTATTTTCTATCACGGGTGTCTTATCAAGTAACATTATGATCTATAATTTCCCCATTAATTTTAACCAAGTTGAATAAAAATTTTTGAAGGCTTATGATTTCATTGTACAAGAAAAATCTGTACCAAACTTACAGTAAAGGCTGCCTCTGGGAAGTGAATGCTGAGAGAAGAACAGCATTGGGGAGGGCTGCAAAGGGAACTTTAATGTTATCAGTATGGTTTCATTTCTTTTATTAAAAAGTATCCAAGGCTTCCCTAGGCAGTGTTGCTCTGTGCTTAGAGCATTGGATTGTGCACAGAAGGGTCATGGGTTTGATTCCTGGTCAAGGGCATATACTTGGGTTGCAGGTTCGATCCCTGGCCAGTTCAGGGCACATGCACGAAATAACCAACTAATTTGTCTCTCTTACATAGATATTCTCTCTCTCTCTCTCTCTCTCTCTCTCTCTCTCTCTCTCTCTCTCTCTTTCTCTCTTACTCCCCTCCCCCCTGCTTGCTCCCTACAACTCTCTAAAAATCAGTGGAAAAAATACCCTCAGGTGAAAATTAACAAAACAAGACAGGTCCCCAAGGCAAAGATGACATTTGTTGCTTTGGAGTGGACATGTTTCCCAAAGGCAAAGGACCATATATGCTGCAGCAGGGTTCACTGGGAAAACCCATGGAGAAAGGATTGACAGCAGTTTTAAGACCACAACTCCCCCGTATCTCTGCATTGCCCATCACTCTTTGTGATGGAGTTGCACAGCAGGGGGAGGAGGGGAAGGAGAAGGAGAGGGATCCTTGGGCTATGGAGGTTTTGAGGGATGAGATTTTCTGAAACTCTGGCCCCTCCCTGAAGTGATAAAAAAAACAAACAAAAACCAAAAAAACAGAATATTAAATAGTATTGTGCAGCGACATAGCAGAACATTGGCTGCAGCCCTATCCTATCAAGTCAGGGTTCATGGTTTGGGGTAGCATTAGTCTGGTGCCCGGCATGAACAGGTGCCTGGGATTCAAGCCTTGCAATTAAAGCAAGTGGTGTAGCCAGCTGTCAACATGATTAACCAACCAGGTTCGCATTTATTGGCGTTGAAACACCAATTCCTCTCCTGGCATGATGGGAATTGGTTGCTGGGAGCCCAAGTTTTGCATTGTGCAGATTATGAAACTTGGTAGAAGCCAGTTTCAATGGGCACTGCACAAATAAACTCCCTTTCTGGAGGCAGCCTGTAGAGAATTACTCTTGGACGTTATTTCTACTCTTATGTTTCAGTGTACAAATGTTTGTCATGTTATTCTTTATTCTTGGGCTTTTACCTTTTTCTTCCCCAAATAAAAGAAAAAATAAAAGATAAGTAAAATCTTCAAAATGGGGTTTTAGAAACATAAAACATAGACACACAATGAATTCATGCTGAGTGACACAGAAGGCAGAAAAAAATACACCATTCTTTCAGCAGATATTTACTAAATATGCACTATGGCAGGGTCTATTTGGGGCACTAAAAATATAATAATGAACAAATTATGGAAGTGATCTATTTATTTGCCCACATGAGAACGAGCTAGAAAGAGATGGGTTTGAGAAGCAACTTGAGAACCAACTGGGAGTGTCAGGACTTGAAGAATGGAAGGAATGCCTCCGAGAATTATGGTACCAGATAAAAGACAGGAACTGGCCTACAAGTTAGCTGAGGTGTTTATAACTCTTTAGAGTTTATAGTACACTTTGATATTTATTAGCTCATCCAACTTTTAGAACACTCTTTAGAAGCAGAAAGAGGTTACCTATTTCTAGACATAAGTGATTTTCTCAAGATTGCCTTGACTTTGTGATCGGGAAATCACCAGGCTTCTGCTCCCAATTCCCATCTTTTCACTGTATCTTTCTTAAAAACTCACCTCCCCTCTTTGGTTTCATCCTCTTACGTATGATCATTTTACCCCTTTAGTACAAAGGTCATTTTCATTACATGAAATATACAATCCACTTAGCAATTCAGACATTTTACTCTCTCTAAATTATGTACCATATTACAGATCATGAAAAAGCCTAAGATAATATTAAGACTAAAAATTATTTTATAAATGAGAAAATTCAGCTTTATGCATTAAGCTAAACAGGAGCTGCCAGAATTGTCCCTTTACTGAATTCTTATAAAACTGTTTATCAAATTTCAGTAAAAGAGTCTTTCATAGAAAAAAGCAGATTATACTAGGGTTTGTTTCCCTTCTGCAATCTTATCGGATGCCCTCTATATGTGTATCACCAATTTATATGTATTTTTTAACTTGTAAATTTTAAATGACAATTTAAAGACTACTTTACCTCTTCATTTGTGTTTTATTGCATTATAATTGTGTAACTTTTTTTTTTTCTTTTCCAGAGAGATGTGATAGATAGTTTGCTTGGACCAAGGTCAAATCAACCAGGATAAATTGTCATTACTGATATCCTTCCTTGTTAATTTTTTTTAAAGGAACATTGTTTAACATATATTAGACTGATTGGATGCAGTAATCTGGGATTTTGATTTTAGAAAACAATATTTAATGTATAACTTCTATTTGAACTTAATAAAAATTTAATCAACTTTTATTCCAGTTGTTAGTTTTTTTTTATCCAAACTAATTGTAAGGGTATTGTTGGGATTTCCTTAAATTTTGAAAGATATTCCTATGCCAGTTCTTAATCATATTCCAAGTACATATACATACTTATAAAATATTTATGTATGTTAGAAAATTATTATTCCTTTAGAAGAAAAGCTTGGGGTATACATTTCCTTTTGGTTAAGTCTATTGTAATATATCCCCTTGTCTTTCTGAAAGGTTAGCTTTTCCATATCACTCTGTGCAACAGAATAAAAACTTGGTTTCATTGGAAAAAAAGTGTTTCTTTTTATTACGTATTTTTGATCATTAAAAAAATTTCACATGTTCTACTCTCATTGAGCTTAAATGAAAAATAAAGCTATTTTATACTTCTTGGATCCTGGGCAATTGACCCTATTCCATTTCACCTTTCTGATCACCAATCTTGTAGACTCTCCCATACTTTTAGATTAGCATCATACTTTTAAGATTTTCACTTAAGAGTTATAGAAACTATAAAAGGCATTATTTTGCTGGCTTTCTAAGCTGACTTTGGGTTCTTAGAAAATTTTAGTTACCATAAAATTTTAAAAAATTAAAAACTTTATTTTTTGGAGCAGTTTTATGTTTATAACACAATTGAAAGGGGAGTATGGAGATTTCCCATATGCCATCTGCCCTGAGAAATGCATAGTTTCTCCAGTTATCCACATCAACACTAGAGTGGTAAGTTTGTTATAATTGATGAACTTATACAGACATAATAATCACACAAAGTCCAGTTTACTTTAGGGTTCATTTAGTGTTGTACATTATATGGGTTTGGGCAAATACATAATGGCATACATTCTCTAAGGGTAGTATTACATAGAGTATTTTCTCTGCCCTAAAATAATCTGGGCTCTGCCCATTTATCCCTCCCCTCCCCAATCCTGTCTCGATAGTTTTGCCTTTTTGTCTGGATGTACCACAGTTAATTGTCATTCACCTACTGAAGGGTATCTCAGTTGCTTCCAAATTTTGGCAATTATGAATGAAGTTGATATGATAACCATGTACACGTTCTAAATTCCTTTGAGAAAATACCAGTCCGATTGCTGGAACCATATGGTAGGAGTATGTTTGGATTTGTAACTCCCAAACCATCTTCCAAAACTGGCTGTGTCAGTTTTCATTTCTGCCAGCAATACATGAAAGCTCAGCATCGACAGCAGGTGCTATGGGAATCAGGGTAGCACATGGTTTCAAGGGGCATGTTGTAGTTGCAAGATTTTCACACATGGATAATTGTAGAATATAAGTTGGAATTCAGGCAGGTCTAAATAATTCAGGCAGGTTGGAAGGAAGGAATCTAGCTGTCATTGAGCACTTAAGAAGTGCCAGATAGTTTCATGGGAAACATTCTGTGAAGTAAGGACTCTTACCACCATTTACCATTTTACCGCAGACAAAATTGTTCACCCAGGTAGTAAGCAATGAGCCTAGAGGGTAAACCAAGTCTGCCTGCCTTCAGGAACTGAAGTCTTTGTTTATTCTACTCTGTGCCTCAGGTAGGAAAAAAGAGATGGTGGATTGCTGTAACAAATGACAGTATTGTGGAGAGACAAGTGGGGTGAAATGGAATTATAGTGGGAATCCCAGTTGTAGGAATTGTCTGACCAGAATTTTGAAGTGGGAATGAACCTATAGTATTCCAGAAATAGTGAGGGGACTGAACTCTCTGAATTTCTTCATTTTTAAAAATTCAAGTAATTTAGAAGTTTGGTATTCTTTCTGCCAATCTTATATAAAGTATGAGGCAGAGTTTATTTAAGATTCTATTTTAGTAATTGCATTTATGTCTAATCATAAAATGTTAAAAAAGGACAACATGACAAATGCTGTCACCTATGATTGTAAAGGCTTCTATTTGGTTTAAAATGACTTTGGTAGCCATTGCCAGTTTGGCTCAGTGGATAGAGCGTAAGACTGTGGACAGAAGGGTCCCTGAGTTTTGGGCTCAATCCCTAGTGTGGTGCATGCAGGAGACAGCCAATCATGGTTCTCCCTCATCATTGATGTTTCTGTCTCCCTCTCCCTCTCCCTTCCTCTCTGAAATACGTATATTTCAGAGAGGAAGGGAGTAAAATAAGTAAAATGACTTTGGCAAACAAAATTATTTTTTAAAATGACCCACAGTTTTCATACTTTGGTAGGTGAATTTCTTGAAAAATTATGAACTTACCACCTCCACCTTAATATTGAGAGGTTGAGAGTAACTGAATATTAACAGAAAAAAATAAGTGTTTTTAATCTCAAGAGAGAAAGCATAAATTTACTAGATTTACATAATCTGTCAATCTCTGGAATATAAAATCAAAATACACTAGAAAAAGCACATTCAGACTATCTATGACACACTTGGCAGTGGAATGGATGTCTGTATAAGGCGCTCTCTTTTTAACACCACTGATGTAATAAACTTTCATAGGTTTCACTGATGTAATAAACTTTCAATATTTTTCGTATATTATTTATTTGAGCAGTTACCGGTTTACCAATACACATTCATTCATACATGAGTTCTTGGTGCTTGCTAGTGAGCCAAGGTGCCGATAAGTATTATAAGTCTGAACCAAGTTAAAGTGAGAGAGGACGTTGGGAACAACACCCCGGTAAAAACAGCGGGCCCCATTTTGTATTTTTAGGCAAGAGGTGTAAGTCTCCAGGGCACACCGCAGGGTTGTTTTGTGTTTGTGTGTTTTTGTTCATAGCATGTAACTAATGTCTTTGAAAGCTGCTGACCGCAGAGCAGAGGTGGCCAGGACAACCCAAGACAAGCCTTGTCTTGGCTATGATCCAGCTGAGTGACACTGGTTATGTCTCCCCTCTCTGCCCCGGTGTCTCCTCCTCCACAAAATGAGGAGGCTGGCAAGGCCTGAGTGCTTCCCAAAATGTCTATCTCTTGAAACAAGACCAACACGAGAAAAAAAAGTGATGTGTAGGATTCAATTTCTTTTACAAAATCCAGTGCATTGCACCAAGAATAGAACTTGGTTGCTGCCTTCCTTAACAGGGTCCTTTAAGGAAGTTCCTTCCTTCCTTCCTTCCTTCCTTCCTCCCTCCCTCCCTCCCTCCCCTCCTTCCTTCCTTCCTTCCTTCCTTCCTTCCCTTCCTCCTCCCTCCCTCCCTCCCTCCCTCCCTCCCTTCTTCCTCCTCCTCCTCCTCCTCCTCCTCCTCCTCCTCCTCCTTCTTCTTCTTCTTCTTCTCCCCTCCTCTCTCTCTCTCTCTCTCTCTCTCTCTCTCTCTCTCTCTCTCTATCCCCCCCCGCCCCCCCCCCCCCCCCCCCCCGTTTCAGTTGAGAGAGGAAGCTACTTCCAGCTTCCAAATGAACATGAGGTTTCTGAGGAAAGCACATCGTAAAACCTTGGGCAGGCGGATTCCGCAAGGGAGGAAAGTCTTCAGCGTGGACAGCCAAGATGGGACCTGCAGGTGTGTGCTGCACCAGTGGCTGCTCCGTGGCTGACCTGAGTGCTCTTTGCTAAGACGAAAGCAGATGCCCGATGGGTGGCCGGGCTTTAGCACATGGTTAATCACAGTGTTACTGCCCAGTGCCCTGAGATTATATGTAATTTAAATAATGGCTTTTGGGTAGGCAATTTTCCTTTCTTAAAAGTTGTGTCTGAAGAATGGTTAAAACCACAATGAAGCCTGTTTTCTTCCTTAGATGACTGTTTTCAAATTTCCACAGATCCTTTGAAATTTCGAATGCTGTGCAGAATTGCAATAAAAATGCCATAAACAAAGCTTGCTGTGATTTTTCTTACCTTTAAACATTTTTAAAAATAACTTTAAAACAATAAACAGAAAATGCCAACGGCAGAAAAACCTACTGTATTTTCCGGCGTATAAGACGACCCCCTAATTTTACAGTTAAAACATAGGTTTAGTCCTATATTCGCTGTATAAGACTACCCCCCACTTCCGAGGCAACACCAGTTCTTTTTTTAATAGACCGCCTCTCTGACTCTGGCCAATCTGAGCAGGCTTTTTACTAGAACACAGTGTACATGTTCTGTCCCCGAAGCTACACTGTGTTCTATAAAAAGCCTGCTCAGATTGGCCAGAGTCAGAGAGGCGGTCTATTAAAAAAAGAACTGGTGTTGCCTCGGAAGTGGGGGGTAGTCTTATACAGCGAATATAGGACTAAACCTATGTTTTAACTGTAAAATTAGGGGGTCGTCTTATACGCCGGAAAATACGGGTAAACAAAAACCAACTGTTATTTCATCAAACAGAAAAAAAAATTACCCACTCTTAGCTTTTGGGTTATTGTATATTACTGAAAATGTAAACACTGATTTATTGCCAAGTATTAGAAACCACACAGCCGAAACCAGTTTGGCTCAGTGGTAGAGCATCGGTCTGCGGACTGAAAGGTCCCGGGTTCGATTCCGGTCAAGGGCATGTACCTTGGTTGCGGGCACATCCCCAGTGGGGGGTGTGCAAGAGGCAGCTGATCGATGATTCTCTCTCATCGATGTTTTTAGCTCTCTATCCCTCTCTCTTCCTCTCTGTAAAAAATCAATAAAATATATTTTTTTTAAAAAGAAAAGAAAGAAACCACACAAAACGCTTTTCTCAGACTCCTAGAGTGCTCAAGAAATGTGCTTAATATCCCACACTGACATTCTCCTTAAGAATAGCTGGGGGCATGTATGCATGTATGTAACCATCAGGTCCCATTAATAGTTAAAGCCCAGAAAATGGTTGAGTAATAAGCTCCTTCCTATAGTCTGGGCCACCTTGCTTTTGCCTCTCTTCTGCTGAGATGAAAGGACATTCTATTCTCATTCTGGAATTAGAGAAACTAAGGCCCAGTTAAGGCATTGCAATACAATTGGGTATTTTCACAGATAAAAAGACAGTTTTCGCAAAACTGTTTTCATTTCTGACTCTGACAGTCAACACCTCAGCGGGTTGGAACAATAGTCAGACTCTGTTCATCTGAAGTGCTGTTCTGATCAATGCTGTAGTTTGTGTGTTTGAAGTCCATCTACTACGCATTCTGTCAAGGTACTGTGCATGGCATTTGAACATTTTACTTCCTGCCTTTGTTGCAGGCAACCTATGAGGGTGGGATGGTACTTCACCGATGTTTTCTGGATAAGGAAACGGAGGCACGGTGGAATTGAATAAACGTGTCCTAAGTCACACAGCTGAAGAGGTGGTGTAATTGGATCCAAATTCAGGCTCCTGAACAAAGGCAGTCAAGCCAAACTGGTCCTCAATGTATTCCCTATGTTACCACCAAGGAGTCCTTTTTCTTTTTTCTTTTTAAGTGAGTTTCACGGAAGACTTCAACCCTTGTGCACATGCCTTTCACTATTCTGGGTGGTGACCTGGAAGACTCCACAGAGAGCTTTTGCAGCATGCTCACGTGTGATGGCTGTCTGGAGGAAAAGCACTTGTGTGGTTGAATTGTGAGCCTCTGGCTAGCTGCTTTTCCCATAAAGCACCACGTTCTTTTTCTTTAAAGAAAAAGACTGGAAATCTGTGGTCGATCAGACTTGGGTATTTGGAATGAAATGAAACCAGGCTTGAAAAAGAACAAAGTGATCCTGTAACTTCAAGAGAAACAACCGACACTATTTGTAGCCGATGATAAAAATTGAAGCTGACAAGGAATTTTGGAAAACTTTTATTCACCAACGTTAGCATCAGTAGTGATATTAATGAATTTTGACTTTTTGCTATTGTGTAATGAAATGTGTCAACATTTGTAAGATGTGCAAAACTAACTCAGTATCAATGTATGATGTTACAAAACCATGAATGGGCACTGTGTGATGTTCGCTGGTAAAAATATAAATAAACAATAAATAAATAAATGTCTTTACAGGCAACAGGCCTCTATTGTGTATATAATGCTCTTTAAAAATATGTTTTTATTGATTTCAGAGAGGAAGGGAGAGGGAGAGAGAGCTAGAAACGTCAATGATGAGAGAGAATCATTGATCAGTTGACTCCTGCACACCGCCTCCTGGGGATCGAGCCCACAACCCGAGCGTGTGCCTTTGACCGGAATTGAACCCGGGACCCTTCAGTCCACAGGCCAATGCTTTATCCAATGAGCCAAACCAGCTAGGGTTGTATGTAATATTCTTGGTCATCTAAAGAGTTTTATTCTATTACATATGCATAAGAACTTATTTTGTTAAAATTAGCCTTTAAATTTATCAAGTTCCTATTTAACTTTATCATATAATTATTTTCTCTTGTTAAGGTGAAAAATTGTGTTTACAGGCCCTGGCCAGGTGGCTCAGTTGGTTAGAGCATCAT